GTAGGGTTTCAAGTATCCTTTCAGAAAACCCTGATTGTGAAACAAAAAAGCTAAACACAAAAATCATCCCCCTTTTACTGAAATCTTGATATATGTTCCAGCTCTACTTCATGGGGGTCCCGTAGAATCTCTGAGTATGAAAACTGACTCTGTGCCCCTTCTGCTATGGCCTGCCTGGTGCTGTCAGGCAGCAAACACTCTACCAGGTCTCCACAGCTGACAATGTGTGCAGGTTATCAACACAAATGACATTTGATTAATTGTTCTTAAGCATCTCTGTCAAAAAGTACTAATGAGAAAAATAAATTGCATTGGATCTAGAGATTAACCAGCTCTGTCTTTCCTTGACTGGGTGACAGTTGCTTGTTCTGATTCAGCTGGAAAAAATGGACGCATTAAACTGTCAAATATCTTTTTTCCTTCCCCCAAATGAAATTTTTCTGATGGATCTGTAATACAGCAAACCTGCTAATGAAGCAGAAGTAAAGATCTAGCATCGTATATCCAGCAAATTGCACCACATTTGTTTCAACTGTTTATACAGTCCAGCTGTACTGCAAAATCATGGTGTGGAACATAAAGTGTAGGACTCTGAAGACTGTAAGATGGCATGAACTCTGGTAGCAGGGGGGCAGGATTTTACCTTCTACAACCGCAGGGTACCTCGCAGGCAGTGTGAATATGTTGTACTACAGTGGCTCCTAGGTAACCAGGAAAAGATACTGTAGCTCATCAGTCCAGCAAGACCAGTATGGTTATGCCGTTCCTCAGCCTGAACAGCTTGTCACTAAGAATAATCATAAAAAATTATGTCCCTTGCCCCAGCTGCTTGGATGTACATTTGATATACATTTGTATGATATACATACAAAAGATATACATTTGATAAGCATAACACGCAATGTTTGGCTGCATTGTGTTTGAAAGCATTTGCAAAGAGAAGTATGCATTAGGTACAAGAGGTTTCACTCTGTCAAATGTGGCAGAATAGTTTGGATGTTTCCTGTTCAGTATTCAGGCTAACTGATGACTCATCCAGGAAGCCCAAGCTGCAGTCTCTCACAGCAGGGGATGAAACCTGAGAATGTCAGCTTCTTACTGTAGTGGCTAGGCTTCTCAATACAAACAAGTTGCTTAGGAGATCTTTCTCTCTGTGACCATACAGTGAAAAGTTATTGAACTGTATTAAGGATTATAAAGAAGATGGTTGCTTGTTTAAGAGCAATGTGTTACTTTGTGTCTTGCAATGTTTCTTTGTAATTATTTTAAGACGGTCTCCAAGTGGGTGAGGCAATAGGCACTGTGGCTTTTCTCCTCCCATCCGCTCACTTTTCTAAACTCAAAAGCTCCAAATACTGTAACATTTCTTTGCAGAAGAGTTGCTCCAGAGCCCTGGTAATTTTTTGCTGCCCTTTTCTGCATATTTTCCAACTCTACATTATCCTTTGAGCTGTGACAACCAGCTGTACATGGTACTCCAGAGGCTGCATCCTAGATTTATGTGAACGCATTATGATACAGGCGGCTTACTAATTATCCTCTTGCAAATGATCTCTAACACTGAATGCATCTTATTCACAAGCTGTCTCATAATGGGTCACCTTTTTCACTGAACCACCCACCATAACCTAAGGATCCCTTTCCTGGTCAAACCTTGCCATCTCAGACGACATTTATGTATTTGTGAAGTTAGGATTTTTTTCTTTTTCTCCATGTGCTTCACTTTGTACTCACCCTGACCACATTAGCCAGACTCACCCAGTTTTGAGAGATTTTTCTGCTGGTAGGATTAATTTGCAGAAGGAACTACAGTGGTACCTCGGGTTACAGACGCTTCAGGTTACAGACACCGCTAACCCAGAAATAGTACCTCGGGTTAAGAACTTTGCTTCTGGATGAGAACAGAAATCATGCTCCGGCAATGCAGCGGCAGCAGGAGGCCCCATTAACTAAAGTGGTACCTCAGGTTAAGAACAGTTTCAGGTTAAGAACGGACCTCCAGAACGAATTAAGTTCTTAACCTGAGGCACCACTGTAGTACTTTGTAGTATCACAGGTAAAGGTGGGTCTCTCTTTCCTGGTTTCATCTCTGAAAATAAATCACAGTTGTCAAGTGGGACACAGGCAACTCTCAGTTTATGTGAGGGTTGCATTTAGAGGAATCCAGGATGTGCACAAACCTGCCCTGTGCCACACCCTTCCAGGTCCGAAAACCATGTGCACACTTTTCAAGATTACCTTTGCAAAAAAGAAACCTGAAGCCTTCCTTTTAAGCATCACAGATACTGATATACCAAAAAAGATGAGGGAAATATTTCTTTACGCCACGGTGGCAGCAAGAATTCTAATAGCCAGAAACTGGAAAGGAGATGTGGTATGGACGAAATTGGAGTGGCAATCCAAACTGTTAGAATTTGCAGAAATGGCTAAAATGACGGAAAGACTAAGAGACCGGACTGAACAAACATTTATAAGGGAATGGGACCAGTATGGAAAGTATCTCAGGGAGCACTGCAATAATCTGAACTCATCGGCAGGCCTGGAGTAACTTCTGTAGAAAATTTGGAAACTAGAGAAACTTAAGAGAATAAATATGTATTAGTATTGAGAGAGATAAGTGTGACAATCTAAAAAGTAACAAGGTATCATGATGGGGTGATGGGAAGTCATTATAGAAGATTTATATTAGGAAACTATTATATTTAGATGCATTGTTCTAAACCAGGCATGTCCAAAGTCCATTACGGGGCCCAATCCATCCTGCTGGTTGGATTAATTCGGTCCCTGTGGCAGTTTATTTCCTGGGGTAAAATCACAAAAAAGCTCAACAACTTCAATCCTTAAAAAAGTCAACAACTTTGGTCAGCCCTTTGGTCGGCCGTCACGCATGTTCACTTCATCAAATCTGGCCCTCTTTGAAAAAAGTTTGGATACCTCTGTTTTAAAGGTTTTTTGTTTTTGCTTTTTTTGTTTGACTGTTTGGTCTTTTATGTTGGAACTAATAAAGCAAGATTTTTAAAAAGGGAGTGGGAAGAAAACTGTGTGCACACTGGTGGTTACACGCATGTCAAACACACAAATGGGGAGTTGCCTGTAGCCCAAGTCCTGAATTTTGTATAGCAATGGATGCTGAATATACCACATTACAGTGGTACCTCAGGTTAAGTATTTAATTCGTTCCAGAGGTCTGTTCTTAACCTGAAACTGTTCTTAACCTGAAGCACCACTTTAGCTAATGGGGCCTCCTGCTGCTGCCGCACCACTGAAGCATGATTTCTGTTCTCATCCAACAGTGTGACGCGGCAGCTAAAAAAGCCAATGCAATTCTGGGCTGCATCAATAGGAGTATAGCATCTAGATCAAGGGAAGTAATAGTGCCACTATATTCTGCTCTGGTCAGACCTCACCTGGAGTACTGTGTCCAGTTCTGGGCACCACAGTTCAAGAAGGACACTGACAAACTGGAACGTGTCCAGAGGAGGGCAACCAAAATGGTCAAAGGCCTGGAAACGATGCCTTATGAGGAACGGCTAAGGGAGCTGGGCATGTTTAGCCTGGAGAAGAGGAGGTTAAGGGATGATATGATAGCCATGTTCAAATATATAAAGGATGTCACATGGAGGAGGGAGAAAGGTTGTTTTCTGCTGCTCCAGAGAAGCAGACACGGAGCAATGGATCCAAACTACAAGAAAGAAGATTCCACCTAAACATTAGGAAGAACTTCCTGACAGTAAGAGCTGTTCGACAGTGGAATTTGCTGCCAAGGAGTGTGGTGGAGTCTCCTTCTTTGGAGGTCTTTAAACAGAGGCTTGACAACCCTATGTCAGGACTGCTCTGATGGTGTTTCCTGCTTGGCAGGAGGTTGGACTCGATGGCCCTTGTGGTCTCTTCCAACTCTATGATTCTATGATTCATCCTGAAGCACAGTTCTTAACCTGAAGCACTATTTCTGGGTTAGCAGAGTCTGTAACCTGAAGCGTATGTAATCTGAAGCGTATGTAACCCGAGGTACCACTGTACTCTTCTGTTGCAAGTCAAGGTGCCTGCCCATAGGTAAAGTCTTGTTACGCGTTATGAATTTCAGGATGAATTACATAAATTTCTGGTGGACGAAAACTCTATGGTTGCCTGCTTATTCATTGATCATGACATGACTCTGAAGGTGGCTAATTCCCATATTCTTTGTGCGACAGAGTAAATCCATTCCTCAGGGGGGCAAATTGGAATGTAAGTGAAAATAGATTGTGGAAATACGGATGTTTTCCAAAAATAAATTGTTTATTGAAAGCAATGAACTAGAACTCAACACTGCGTGGAAACAATGCAGACAGAGAAATTTCCTAACTCTGAAAAAAGTAACTTTCAGAAATATTTTGCAGTTATCAATACTGTCATGTGTGACTGCATTAGAAATCCATTCAGTGCCAAAGTGCCAGAAAGCTTCTTTGGCACCAAAGGAGAGAGGTACTCTTTTGGCTCTGAGCTGAAACTTGCATTTCAAAATATCTCTGCTTGAGTTCCAGATCAGAGGAAGGAGAGAGAGCCCACACACTCTCTCTTGAGCAACAAGGCAATGAACATTTTGATTTCATTTTCAGCCTCTTATCTTTGCAAGACTAGGTTCTTGGCGTTTGCATCAATCAAAACACAAGTACTGCTGCAGGATAAATTCAGAGCTACTACTTCTAATAGGATGCCTGTTTTGGATAGCTCTGCATTTTAAGGCAGACTCAACCTGCTGTTACACAGCATCTTTTCAACTGTGATGCCATGACAGATCTTAACTCTGCTTAACCTTTTTGGCATCCTACCCTTCCCATATCTGGTAGATCCATCTGGCGAGGCGCTTTCAGGGGGAGGGCCACCGTTCAATGGTTCAACACCTGCCTGCAGAACATTCCAGCTTCAGACCCTGGCATGTCCAGGTAAGGCTGTTTGCATATATAGATCCCGAGCAACTAATAGTTAATAGGCTAAAAGGCAGCACTAAGGGAATCAACTGAAGCTGGTGTAACATCAGCACCCCAATAATGGCAGTGCCTGGAACAGAAGCATTTCTTCCTGTCAGGGGCCATTTTGTAGAAACAATGTGAACAACAGAGATATAACATGATTAAGTATCCATAAGGGGTTTCAGAGACTTTCAAATGAGCCATTAATGCAGATAAAATCTTATTCCACCAGATTAATACAATTTGTACATTTGAAAAGTCCAGATGGAGTTCAGAAATGCTCGTTACCGGATCATAATTAAAATCGCTAAAATGCCGTCAGCATGTTATTCTCTTGAGTTCTCAACACAAACACTAAAGGCCCTTGATAGGATGACATTGAAGAAGTAAACTCTACATTTTTAATAATTAAAAATAATCATACTTATTTGCTGTCTAACAGAAGTTGGTTAATTTTGCATAATTTTGTAACTTTCAGAGTCGAGGTCAATAACTTAACAAGAACTCAAAACATAGATTTCAATTTGAAGGCTCCAACGTCTACCAACTTTCAGAAAACACTACCCAGTGACCCCACCAATCCCTGAAAACATAACTGAGCACAGGCACTGAGGTTTCAGAGACTATAGGATTTCCCATACTATAGGGTCACATCCCATAAATTGGGCTTTTCCAAGTACAGTCCTAATTCTGTAAAGTCACAGCACCCTCTCTTCTTTCAGGGGGGAAAATTCAGTTCTTACTTTATTTTTGAAAGTCATGGGTTACTGATTACAGGAGGCCCCTCATGGTGGAAGAAGTCCCATTCCCAACCCAGCCATTTATGAGAGAAAACATACTGGGGCCCAGAAAGTGTGCCTGAAAAATGGCAACTCCTCAAGCCACCAGGAGTCATTAAAGGCCTCAGCTAAGGAGTTCTGAATGAACCCAGAACTCTACATAGCAGGGTTTGGGACAGAGCAATGGCTCAGGAGAATAGCATGTACTTTGAATGCAAAAATAAAACAAAACACCCCACCCCTCCAAAAAGTCCTTGGTTCAAACATTGGAATCTCCAGGTAAGGCTAGTTGAAGATTCCTGTCTAAAACCCTGGAGAGCTGCTGTCAGAACAGACCAAAGATGGTCAATGTGGTGGTTTCAAATGTTGTTGGCCTCACGTATAACCAAGGGCTGATGGTGGTTGAAGCCCAACCATGCATGGTGGGCATGATATGGGCTACCCCAATGTAGAGCAAACTGATCTTGATGAGCCAGTGGTCTGACTCTGTGGATCCACATCTTTTCTGGGACCATGGCCTTGAAAGATGAACTCCTTTTGCATACTGCAAGGCATCTCCACGTATATACCGTATTTTTCCATCTATAAGACGCCCCCCATGTATAAGATGCTCCCTAATTTTTGACATTATTTTTTAGGGGGGAAACCTAGTCTTATACATGGAATAATACGGTATTTTTGCATGGGAGTGGTGCAATACTCACTGCAAATCTACACCTACGAAGGAAGATCCCTTTCAGATCAGAATGTCTCAGAGTTGGATGGCTCGAAGCATGTGAAGAGTTCCTTCCCCCCTTCCCTACCTTCAGGTAGAGAAAAACATTTGAAATCCAGATATTACAGCGGTCTTCCTGCTCCTCCCCGCAAAAAAAATCTTATTAGGCATTCATTTCTCTTAATAGCTTAAATGGGTAGAACAAAACGGCGCATGAATCAGGCCGACTCTAAGCGACTAAATGCATCGACAGGCTAACCATTCCAGCTCATTTGCATAATTATACTTTAGATACAATTTGCTTACTCCTCCACCTATAATCAACACTTGAGGAAATGCCAATTAAGCACCATTGTTTCCCCAGCCGAGCACTACTGATTCCATGCCACTGCCCCCATGTAATTACTAGATCGTCTTCTTCCCAATAATTCTCCTACGGGTGATCCCAGGGAAAGTGATCACATGTCCTATCACTGCATGAACAGGGCTGTGCCAAGGAGCACAACGACTAATTTTAATCCGTTGTTTGCAGGGCTGTCTTAAGCATATGCGGCGCCAGGGTGCAAAAATCCGCCCAGCGTCCCGTCCCCACTTGCCTTCTGGACGGAGCTTCTGCGGCCGGAGCTCAGTTGGATGCCAGGTGTCGGCAACAGGGAGGGGGTTACAAATCAAATAAAATGGCCAGGGACTCCGCCAAGCCAATTTCTTTGTCGCCTGCGTTGCCCTCCCTGCTCACATGTTATCCTCCGTCTCCAGCAAGCCACCTACAATTTGGGAGGCAGAGAAAGGGAAGGAGGAAAGTTAAGGCTGGCAGCCGCCGGGCACCCAAGTGGCAATCCTCTGCAGCCAGCTCGTAAAAGCCCATCCGGGGACCTGGTGCGCCTGCTCGCTTTGGTGCCGCGGCACCTTAAGACTTTGACGACGACTCTGCCATCAAACGCTGGGCAGGAGGGCAGGGGGTTGGGGTGGAGAGCCACCCACAGCAGAAGAGCCCGTTGCGGCGCTCCGACCGACGGGCGGCCTCTTCCCTGGACTCAACTCTCGGGCCCCGGACTCTCAGCCTGGCGCCCCTGAGAACCTAGCGCCCGGGTGCCCTGCACTGCTAGTGCCTGTGGGTAAGACGGCCCTGGTTGTTTGGAAGCCATTCACCAGTGTCCTGACTCAGATGCAACAAGAAACTGTGGCTATCTGCAACTTCCTGGCTGGTTTCCCTGCTCACCCAAGAGAGGCAAGCAGGAGCAAAGAACCTGGTGTGGCTGCACGTACATTTGATCATCCAGATGTGGCCACATTGTGATTGAGCTTTTAGGTAATAATCACCAGTAAGAGAATACCAAGAAAGTCCTGTGAAATTTTGGGATGCATACACGGCACAGCAGCGTAATCAATATTGCTCAGCAGAATTAAATGTATCAAAGGTCTGTTACAGGGGGTGAAAACTGTGTGTGTCAGATTAAAGCCTAGCAGAATCCAAGATTAATTGCTGTGGTAAGCGGCACATTTTGCCTATGGTCTCAATTAACCTTGCAAAAACAATATTTTCTGAAGCAACCTGACTAATCTGAACACACTCCAGCAACGGTTTCACGAAAGCCAAGGATGAAAATCCTGTTGATGTGATTACTCCCTAAATTTGTCACGTAAGCAGGCTTTAATACGAATAAAAATAGGGTTCTTTTATTTTTAAGAAAGCTATCTGACTTTCAGAAGACATCTGAAGAAAGCCCTGTGTAGGGAAGTGTTTAATGTTTGATGTTTGACTGTGCTTAATCTGTTTAATTTGTTGGAAGCCACCCAGAGTGGATGGGGCAACCCAGTCAGATGGGTGGCATATAAATAATTTGTTGTTGTTGTTAGCCATTTCCCCCATATCAAACACTGCAGAGAATATAAATAGCCAATCTTGCAGGGCTGGAGAGGGGGAATCTGAAAACTGTCCTATAGCATTAGACTTCAACAGGTGAGTCGAGATTCTCAAGTAGGTTGTGGTGTTATTTCCACCACCATTATGTTTACCTAGACTCAGTTAGGTCATAGGAAATGAAGCTTCTCCTCCTCCTTTCTCTCACTTTCTTCGCACCATGTGATAAACCAGGAAGGACATGTCTGAGCTTGCTCCAAGCTCAGAATGCATGCTTGAAGCTAACTTTCTGTATTTTGTACCCAAGGGTAATCTAAAGGTGTTCTCCATGCTGCTGCATGGAATAACACATGAATCAGACCTTTGGATTTTGTAAGTAAAGCATTTTAAGCTTACTTAACAGTGTGTGGACTGCTCACTGCCAGAGGGGGAGAGAGGGCAAGCACTGTAAGCAGACCAAATGGGATATGAAAAGGGGTCTGAAAGCCTATATTCCCATACTATATGGCTGCTTAACTTTGTGACTGTTTTTAAACTTTGCTGGGGGCTCTCCCCTGCTGGAGAGTATGCAAAGCCCAGCATTTTGAACCCAGGCGTCCAGCTGGTTCTTTTGTTAATTAACCCACACATATGTCAGACGGATCTCATTATTTTCCTCCAACACATCTCACAATACAAAACCACCCTGCAAAGCAGTTTTTGCTCATTACTAGTATTAACGGGAGCCACTTCGAGAGATTACAGTTGTGTGAAAAGGAGAATAAATAAAATGCAGTAAATAAAGCAAATTTAAATTTAAGATGCTATGATTGTGGGTACCCCTACAAATGAGGCCTCGCGGGGACTGCAGCTTGTCTCCATTTGTGGAAAACGCCTTGCACGGCGAATTCGTCTGCACTCGTTAGGACTTGAATGAGCAAACATTGTTGCAGCATTAAATATCCTCACTTAGGAACCAATAAAGAGTCTTGTGGGACTTTAAACATTAGCAAGTTTATTATGGCATAAGCTTCATGGACTAAAGTGAGCTTGAATCTGATGAAGTGGATTCCTGCCTGCAGACGCTTGAGCCACAATAAATCTGTTGGTCCACAGGACTCTTTTTGATGCAATGATGAGCACAGCTACCCCTCTGGAACCTCAACAGATACAAGCAGTAGACTTGTAACAATGGACTGTACCACTTCAGGCTGCCAGCAGGAATTCTATGTTGCTCCATGAGAAACCTTCATGCAAATAAGGAGGGACATACATTCAGGAGGAAAGGAAAGGCTGGATCTTTCCCTCAATCATGCTAACTTTCTATGTGCAAGGAGGGGTTTGTTTGTTTGTTTGTTTGTTTTTGTTTGTTTGGGGAAGCATTTATTCTTGTAAGATGACACTTGCAATGTGCCAGGAAACAAAAGAAAAGGCTTTATTGCTGATTTTTGCTGTGGGTCTTACTTGCAAGTAAAGGTAAAGGTAAAGGGACCCCTGATCATTAGGTCCAGTCGTGACCGACTCTGGGGTTGCGGCGCTCATCTTGCTTTATTGGCTGAGGGAGCCGGCGTACAGCTTCCGGGGCATGTGGCCAGCATGACTAAGTCACTTCTGGCGAACCAGAGCAGCACACGGAAACACCGTTTACCTTCCCGCCGGAGCGGTACCTATTTATCTACTTGCACTTTGACGTGCTTTCGAATTGCTAGGTTGGCAGGAGCAGGGACCGAGCAACGGGAGCTCACCCTGTCGCGGGGATTCAAACCGCCGACCTTCTGATTGGCAAGTCCTAGGCTCTGTGGTTTAACCCACAGTGCCACCCGCATCCCTACTTGCAAGTAGATTTGGTTATATCTGGATTTTATTCCTTTGAAGCATTAAGAGCACCTACACAAATGCACCGAAATGACCCAGTATGGATCACTGGCCATTAACCACGTCCAATTTCCTTGCCACCAGCTCTGTCAGAGGAAGCCTGGGCTGTCACCAGGCGAGAACAAGTGGCAAATGCTGCAATGCTTCATTCGTATGGGCAGCAGTATGCTTGGAAATCTGACTGGCCTCTTTCAGAGCAAGTATGTAAGACAATCAAACCCAGTTTAGCACACGAGTTTTGACATATGAAATCATGCTCGATCAGCGAGAGTCGGAAAATAATGAAGGGGGACTGAGGGGGAGAGCACTGCTAAAAACCAGCGTGGAAGGGGTAAAAATAATGCAGTCCAGTCATGAGCTAAAAGACAGGGAAGGTCTTGTCCGAAAGGGGAAGCAAGAAGGAAGTGTAAAGAGATGAGAGGACTGTATAGACCTATAGTATCCCCAGAAAAGCAGAAGGTTGTTTTGCTACATTTCTGCCTATAATGAGCTCCCAGCTCGTGGCTCTACAATTCTCCGTGCAACTTATCCATGCAGTTCAGAGTTACAAAGTCAAGCACACACAGTAGTAGCCCACAGAGAAAAACATCTCTGCTCTTATCTAGAGATGTACCACTACCTGCTGGCAGTGCAGAAGGCTTGCAGTGTTGCATCACAAATTGTGTCCTCCTCACAAAGAGCACGTGTTGCGGTGAGATCATCAGGACTGACCTTACTGCTTGTGTGTGTGGGAGCGATTGAATCACCACAACAAAACGATTGGTGGTCCCTTGGTTGCTGGGGTAATTCTGACCATTGGGATTGTTCATGCATTAACTGAGGGACCCATATCTACCACTGCATGTTGCACTGAGCTTCCTCTTTTCACCTCGTGCATCGGATCACTCTCTCACCCTCCCTATATTTAGGGTACATTATGACCTTGCTAGGGACGCGGGTGGCGCTGTGGGTTAAACCACAGAGCCTAGGACTTGGCGATCAGAAGGTCGGCGGTTTGAATCCCCACGGCGGGGTGAGCTCCCGTTGCTCGGTCCCTGCTCCTGCCAACCTAGCAGTTCGAAAGCATGTCAAAGTACAAGTAGATAAATAGGTACCGTTCTGGTGGGAAGGTAAACGACGTTTCCGTGCACTGCTCTGGTTCACCAGAAGCGGCTTAGTCATGCTGGCCGCATGACCCGGAAGCTGTACGCTGGCTCTCTCGGCCAATAAAGCGAGAGCTTTCCACCAGGCCAGAGCCAGAGTTGAGAAGGCCCTGGCTCTAGTTGAGGCTAATCTAACTTCCTTAGGGCCCGGGGCCTCTAGGGTGTTGCTGTTTATGGACCTTAAGGTACTCCGTGGGGCATACCAGGAAAGGTGGTCCCGTAGGTACGAGGGTCCTAGGCCGTGAGGGGCTTTAAAGGTCAAAACCAGCTCCTTAAATCTGACCCTGTATTCACCGGGAGCCAGTGCAGCTGGAAAAGCACTGGGTGAATATGCTCCCATGGCAGAGACCCCATGAAGAGCCTCGCTGCAGCATTCTGCACCCGCTGGAGTTTCTGAGACAGCTTCAAGGGCAGCCCCGCGTAGAGCGAATTACAGTAGTCAAGCCTGGAGGTGACATTGCATGGATCCCTAGCTAACAGGACCAGTGGTCAGGGATGATGGGAGTTGTAGTCCCAAAACATCTGGAGGGCCAAGATTGCCTATGCCTGGTCTAGACCCTGCAGCCGTGTTAAAAGAGGTGCTCAACTGACCCAGAGGGGGAGAGGGGGACAAAGAGATGGCAGCCAGGCCCCAGAAAACAAGGAAATGAGGAAGGGAGAGGGGACATGTGGTTATTATGGGCTACTGATGACCTGTGTGATATGAAAACTAGGCAGTGAGCCCAGGCCATGCTTCCTCCGGCTGGCTCCAGCACGTCAACCACTCAGGGAGATCACATCCAGGGCTTCAAGCTGGGATCTCCTATATGTGTTCATGTGCTGTTCCCTGTGTCTAGGTCTCCTCTACAGGCGGAGAAGGAAATCATGTGGTTTGCATTTCGTGATGGACCAAACCCATCAGCTGTTCCCAAACCTGCTTGCTGATCAGAAAATAACTCCCGGTGAAATTACACACCATTCTGGATTTTGCGATGCAGTTTCAGCGTACAAGCGGCACACACAGCAAGACATGTTTTACATTAAAATGCAGGTCTTGCGCAAACAACGCATTAAGCTGCATTGACAAAATGTGTATACAAATCACCGTGTGGACTTCTATGCATCCGTTCAATGAAGCTGCACAAAATAAGTTGGTATTATGCTGCTCAGTCCAGAATCCTGACAACTGAGATAACAAATACACCACTCTGAATTTTTCCCCACGATCTGCATCTATCTACCTATACACAGACATATATATTTAGAATAGACTAAAACACAAACAAAAGTCATAAAAGATCCAGCCTTGTTTAGAGAGCAAGACAGCATTGCTCTCATGAATCAATATCGAAATCTTCACTAAGGATAGCTTTGGTGGATGTGAAACAATTGGGGCTAAAGTACTGGCAATATGACTTAAATAGTTTTTTTTAATAAAGAAAATCCTCCACAGACAATGTGCACATAAAAAGATCTTTTGTGCATAATAAATTAAACTAGAAATGCAAACATAAAATACATAAAGAAATATCGCTTATGAGTGAAACGTCAGGAGAACATTAATTACCGTTAATGCTGCTATAAGGAGAAGCATTAGGCAAAAGAGATGCATAATTATCAGCACCAGAAGCCGAAATATGTACAGACTTGGGTATGGAAAGCAAATTTTGCTGAAGAAAACTGTTTTTTTTACATTATCGCGTCTAACAAGGCTGGCGTGGGGGGGCACAGGTTCTCCATTCCTAAATTACTTTTTATTAAGTTGGCAAATCTGTTTCTTGGCTTTACCATTCCTCACTGCAGGTAAGACTTCGCACAACTGAATTTTCCTCCATACAAAAAATAAAAAAAATCATTTGTGTACAGTCCTAGGGTGCTGGCTATCTAAGAAGTTGTCTACTGGACATTTTGTTATTTATGTGCAAGGAAGTTTGCATATTTGATATGGCAATGCAAGCCCCCACTTACTTTCTAGCTGTACCACACACAGGTTTCCCTCATCGGTAAGAACAAAGCTCCACCAATCTCTTTCTTCCAAAAAGACTTGTCAGTCCCACAGGATAAAGGTAAAGGTAAAGGTACCCCTGACTGTTAGGTTCAGTCGCAGACGTCTCTGGGGTTGCGCGCTCATCTTGCTCCATAGGCTGAGGGAGCCGACGTTTGTCCACAGACAGCTTCCAGGTCATGTGGCCAGCATGACTAAGCTACTTCTGGTGAACCAGAGCAGCGCATGGAAATGCCGTTTACCTTCCCGCTGCAGTGGTACCTATTTATCTACTTGCAGTTTGACGTGGTTTTGAACTGCTAGGTTGGCCGGAGCTCGGACTGAGCAACGGGAGCTCACCCCGTCGCGGGGATTCGAACTGCCAACCTACCGATCGGCAAGCCCTAGGCTCTGTGGTTTAGACCACAGTGCCACCCGCGTCCCACAGGATAGGCAGGAGCAAATAAGAAAATGGAAAAACACAAACGCACACATCCCCCCCCCCCCGCAAAAAATGAGGCTATTGCGTCAAATTTTCCTGCTTATTTGCATTCCAAAAGGCAGAGAGGCTGTGCTAAGACAGCTTGCCTGTATACTTCAGGATCTACATGGCCTTGTTCAATTTTGGGTTGTACAAAGGGGGTCCCCTACATGGATATGTATGGCACAACCTTGATGGCAGAAAGTGAGGAGGAATTAAAGAACCTTTTAATGAGGGTGAAAAAGGAGAGCGCAAAATATGGTCTGAAGCTCAACGTCAAAAAAACGAAGATCATGGCCACTGGTCCCATCACCTCCTGGCAAATAGAAGGGGAAGAAATGGAGGCAGTGAGAGATTCTACTTTCTTGGGCTCCATGATCACTGCAGATGGTGACAGTAGTCATGAAATTAATAGACGCCTTCTTCTTGGGAGAAAAGCAATGACAAACCTAGACAGGGTCTTAAAAAGCAGAGACATCACCTTGCCAACAAAGGTCCGTATAGTTAAAGCTATGGTTTTCCCAGTAGTGATGTATGGAAGTGAGAGCTGAACCATAAAGAAGGCTGACTGCCGAAGAATTGGTGCTTTTGAATTATGGTGCTGGAGGAGACTCTTGAGAGTCCCATGGACTGCAAGAAGATCAAACCTCTCCATTCTGAAGGAAATCAGCCCTGAGTGCTCACTGGAAGGACAGAGCCTGAAGCTGAGGCTCCAATACTTTGGCCACCTCATGAGAAGAGAAGACTCCCTGGGAAAGACCCTGATGTTGGGAAAGATGGAGGGCACAAGGAGAAGGGGACAACAGAGGATGAGATGGTTGGATAGTGTTCTTGAAGCTACCAGCATGAGTTTGACCAAACTGTGGGAGGCAGTGGAAGACAGGAGTGCCTGGCGTGCTCTGGTCCATGGGGTCACGAAGAGGCAGACACGACTAAACAACTAAACAACAACAACACAAAGTGGGTAGGTGAGGAAACATGAGGCGGTGAAATGCAGGGGTTGGATATACCAGGAAGCAACTTGGGTGTGTTTTCTTCTACTCAAAGCAGCTCAACGGCAAACCTAAGCACTGACGAGAGCTTTGAGGATCTCCAGGGAACTAAAACCAGACTTGCCAACAAATCATTAAAAAGCTACCAGTCCTCGCATATTTGCAATAGCCACTTGTAGCCCAAGAGACAAGATGCAACTTTGTAAAGCTTTTCCACCTCACTTAACAGGCATCCAGGGGAGTGGCAAGAGGCCACAACGTTAGCAGTCAAATTAATTAGCAGTGTGTGATATCATAAGTACGTTTGCCACAGTTTCCATAGGAAAACGTGGTGCATAAGCAAAGCAAAACCTTTGGACGAATTGCCAAATTATAAATATGCAGGCAAATAATACACAGCTCCGCCGAAACCAACAATTCAGCAAATATGCTGTGGAAAGTTCCTAATTAAAGTTAATTAGGAACTTTAGGTCATGGTATTTGTAGGAAACTGATACGCTGTCGTCTCAGCCCATTTTTGGTGTGCATCGGAAAAAAACGCACCCATGGTATTTGTGGCGGGAAATGTTCCCTTTAGGCTCCGCTGTTTCCAAATGCAGCGCTTTCCACTCTCAGAGTCTTTCCGTCCATGCTTTATTTCCATGCTACGCAATCACCTCCCAGTAGAACAATTAATGTTGCGTGCTAGGGTTTTTCTTATCCTCTAAACTTGACCTGTTTTTCCACTATACCTTAGGGTGCAATCTTCCTTCTGTTACTCACATGAATGGACTATTCAGAGTCACAGAATTTCATCTCAAGTGTACTCGTTCTTGTCTCCATTTTTTTTAAAAAATAAAAATATACCGAATTGGATATGAAGTTGCTCCAGGACTCCCAATTCAGCCATTCCAAACATAAAGCATGATAACGAAGAAAGCCGCAGGTGGGGTTATGACCACAACTGTCTGAGGCAATCATTTCTTCCATTAGAGAAACAATCGCCAGTTTCAGTGACACTTCAAAGAAGTGTCTGAGCCATACAGCTTCAAGTAGCCAAGTGCTCTACCTCTCTCTCTATATATATATTTTAAAAACCCAAAACAGGTATCCCAAACCAATTCTACACAGCACTGTACAGTGGTACATTGGGTTACAGACGCTTCAGGTTACAGACGCTTCAGGTTACAGACACTTCAGGTTACAGCCTCCACTAACCCAGAAATAGTACCTCAGGTTAAAAATTTTGCTTCAGGATGAGAACAGAAATTGTGCAGCAGCGGCAGCAGGAGGCCCCATTAGCTAAAGTGGTGCTTCAGGTTAAGAACAGTTTCAGGTTAAGTACGGACCTCCGGAACGAATTAAGTACCTAACCTGAGATACCACTGTACTGGCAAAAATAGTGTGAATTGTGGTTCAACATTATAAAATTGGAGATTTAGCCTGATTAATCAATATTTCTTTCATCAACATAACCTTTTGCAGATTGCCATGAAAGTTGACATTTTTGACCCCTAATCATATGCCGTCAGTTTGCCATCACTTCCCAGCAATTGCAGAACAATCTATTATATTGTTCAAGGATAAAAAAGTAAGAATCCTTTAATAATACACTCCTTATTACAGCAAGAATCAGAAAGCACAATGGAATATGAGATTCTATGGTTTCCTTACAGAAACATATGATTTCCAAACATAAGCCTCTTCTGCTACCTTAGGCAGGGTTTTGGTCCAAGGGACTGCAAGGCAAATTGCTTCACAAAGCCCAAGAGAGGACATCTAAGGCATATCTGCTTTTCTGACCAGTTACTCCTAAATTATGAGCCCTCCAGCAAACAAAAGAAGTGACCAGTTTAGCGCAGGGTCACCACACAAATTACAAAAGTGATATTTTAAAACGATAAAAATATTTCATTAATTAAAATTATTCATGGACTAGCAGGTACATTTCAGAGACATCTACAACACCTCACATCCTTAATCTGGCACACAGTTATTCATTTATACTGCAAATGAAACAAACTGGCTATGATGAAATGCTTGTAATTCCAGTATCCCCCTCCCCAAAGTCCTTGTCCCATTTAAAACCAAGGAAACATTTAAAATGTGTATTCTTAGCTATATCAGTCTCCCCATTTGGCTGCGAGCTCCTAGGTTGTCCTTATCAACTTATGTGGGGTTTGGCCGTGTGCATCTGAACACCAGTTGTGTGTTTGTGTTGTGGGGTGGGAGGTTACATTGTTGACTATATGCCCTGCATATGGGCTTTCTGAAAATATCTGGCTGCCTTCTTGTTTTACTGGACAATGGATTTCTGCTCTGATCCAGCACAGCTCTTATTTGGCCTTGTGGCTTTCTGATGGACATGAACATTTTGATAAAGTATCCTCTATCATTTTGTAAACATGAACGGGGATGACCAAATCAGTCAAAAGCACTACTACTGCTGCCAGTTTGCTTTGCAAGCGGTAAAATATAGCCAACGCTCCTTTCATCAAATAGTCAAAGATTAGGAATATCCCAGTTCTTTTAGAATCGGATGACACACACGGTGCTGTGCTTTCATTGCTGGTTCATTTCTTTAAAATCAAGAAACTTGGCAATCACATAAAATTACCCATACCTTGATTTAATCAATAAATAAGCAGTCCAGAAAAAATAACAGCAAAAATGTATCAAAATCTGCAATCCAATTCAGCAAGTGAGGCATGCCCACACATCTGTTCACAGATTTCCTTGTTAGATTGGATAAAGTTGTGCACCTGATTTGAAGCACCCAATGCCATCCCTATTTGCATGGCAAGATGTTCGTGTCGGGTGCAGGAGAAAGTTTCTGGCCATCTTATGCAACACGGAACTTTATTTGGTCTAAATCCTTAACACATTTAAAAGAACACTACTCACCAAGTTCCCTGAATGACCCTCTTGCTTCTTAGTCATTAAAAAAACCATTTGCTCATCTATAAATACAAGTAATTTTATACCGCCCTTCGATCACATTTCCAGGACAACCCACAAGAAATAATAATTCAAGGGTAAAAACAAAATTGTTACCCTGCAACCAAAGCAACAATGGACGGCCATCTATACAGCACAAGCAACTCAACCTCCAGGGCAATTGGCAAATATAGCCAGACTTAGACCAAAGCCATATTTACAATGAGTCAAAGCAAAACGGCAAAAGGTGTATTATTAGCAGCAGCTGATGGAACACTGGATGGTCAGAGGCAGCCATAGAAGACTGCAAGAATGCTTGTAAGAATACAGTGGACTTTTGTACAAAGTGCATTTGTATCAGGAAAGGATGGGTTTCCTTTATACCTAGGCACTCCTGTCTCCACACACCTGGAGTTTATCGGTGCAGACAAGCAACCACTTACTAAGCATAAATTGCAGACCATAACTCGAGAGAGAGATAACAACAATCCTTTGGTGCCCTTGTCTGCTTTCCGTGCAATTTTGGTCCAGATTATGATTTACTCTGTCCATGGGCTGCTGCCACAAACATAGCTGTACTCACAAGCCCATAAAACAAGACCAAGGTGTCTGGACCTTTGCAATCCAATTATTTCCTTAGGGCTGACTGTGTCCGTGGCCACAGGGAAATCTACATTTGTTTCTAGCTTAACACAGCCATGGCCATCTACTCAAATGCAGCCACAGCCATTTGCTTACAGTCATCTAAGAAAAGCAGAGTAACAATGTCACTTGCCTACTCATCTGAAGCTCTTCTAAGGAGGCTCGGTGTAAACTCTGGCATCACAAAAGTTAGAGTTTGACGACTAAGGGCTAACTCGTGCATGCGTGCACATTGCTCAGTTCCTTATCAAGTGACAACCTGTGGCTGAGTGCATGAAGATCCTTCACCGAAAAGGTAAAGCTAAAAAGGTAAAGGACCCCTGGACAGTTAAGTCCAGTCAAAGGTGACTATGGGGTTGTGGTGCTCATCTTGCTTTCAGGCCAAGGGAGCCGGCGTTTGTCCACAGCAGGACTAAACCACTTATGGTGCAATGGAACACCTTGATGGAAACCAGTGCGCATGGAAATGCCGTTTACCTTCCCACCACAGCACTACCTATTTATCTACTTGCACTGGCGTGCTTTCGAACTGTTAGGTTGGCAGGAGCTGGGACAGCGCAACAGGAGCTCACTCCGTCGCAGGGAATCAAACCGCCAACCTTCTGATCGGCAAGTCCAAGAAGCTCAGTGGTTTAGACCACAGTGCCCCCAGCATCCGAGAAGGTAGGGTGTTGATGTACTGCAAGAGTTCCAACCATACTGCTATGTGCATGTGTGAAATAAAAACACTGCCATCGTTATGATAAGGCATGTATGTATTCATTCTGACATTGTGTAAAGAATCTGCATATGTAATAGCATTCAAAGCTGATCATCCAGCTATACTAGCCAAACTATTCCCAACATTAAATCCTTACCCTGACAAGTGTTGTTCTTTTCTTCGTAGCCTGCCTTGCACATGCATTTCCCAATTGGCACCAGCCACTCCCCTTCGGCACTGCAGTGCATCCGTGGGGGTTCGTCTGTCACAGAGTGGTTCACACACGACCCCAAGACTTCCAGAAGCTGAGAAGAATCTGCTCCGGTGATGGTGTCGGGGAAGACGGCCAAGTTCCGAACCACCACAGGGCACTTCTTATAGTACACCCTCACAGAGACCAGCGCAATGCAGGCACCCACATCTTGGAAAGCAAGGTAAAATCCCTTTTTGGTCAGCGGCCCGACATCTCTCACCTCTGTGTTCAGCTTCATGACTCTATCTCCAAGGTCTAGCTCTGTGAAGCTCTCATCCGCCGCAATGGTATCAATCTTGATGTACTGGTTTTCTTTTACGTTCCTTCCGTCTTCGTCATCCGATTCAAAATAATACATATTAAAAGTCTCTTTGCAAGTCCCAAGTCCTCCAGGAAGGCTGTTGCAGTCCCTAAGGGTGAATTTCAGTTCAATGAAGATTCGAGAGGCTCCTTTGTTGGAGATCCAGCTTGTCAGAAGCCAGTTGTTCTGACTCTGTTCCATGACTCTGCACACTTGATATGTGTGGATCGGCGCATAATTCTCATCCACCTCGCCAATTTCTTCCCACTAAACGTTTGGGGGGGGGGAGGGAGGAGAGAAAAAGAAGAAAAATGAAAGCACACATTTAAAAAACAGATTGCAAATGTCTGTAATTCTAAGTTGATAACTGCGCTAGACCTCAGTAAGCAGAAGTGAAGTATGTTTGCAAAAGTTGGGTGTCTGCCAGATATTCTAAAAGCTAAATTGGGAAGGTGGGGGGGGGAGAGGGAGAGGGAGAGGGAGAGAATGTGACCTGATGATTCTGCCAGTAAGAAGAATCCTGTTCTTTTGGGTGCATTCTGACCACCTCCCCCCTTTTGCACATGCTGACACACATCATTACCACTGCTTCATACATTCCAGAGCGGAGACGTAACACGAAAAGAGGTTCTACCACATTGCTCTGAGAATCCCTGGGAGCACACACTTCAAATTAAGTTAGTAATTGCAGAGGGGATGAAAAGATGAAATGCCCAGGTCACACACACAGAGGCAAACATGAAAAGCCAGGGAAATCTGCTTCTTATCTTCTACAGCAACCAGGAACCAGTCACCTGGTCCAATTTTTCAAGTTGCCTATGGCAACGGGGCACCAAGTTTTCCACTTGCCTGCCGGTAAGCTCTTCCTTTCCCAGTTACTGAAGTGTTAAACGTAGACCAAAAGCTGAACTACCCCATTACTGTTCAATTAATACATTATACGTTCTAGCTTGACGCTCCCTCGACAATGGGGAAGAAATTGTTTATTGTGGCGTGTTAAACTCGTAAGGAAGCAAACAGCCTCTGCCGTGTGTCCAACGATGTTCTCATAAAAGCTCCACTAAGGAAGAGTCACATTGTTTTCTGACTGGTTTCTCTTATGCCGCACTACTTAGCCGCAAATATTCCTTCCATCCTCATGTTGCGTACTTCTGCTTTGGTACTTGGCGCTTATGTCTATTAGTTCACAGTAGCAATCCATCAAAAGCACACACGTTACGAATGGGTAACAAATGGTTCCTCCTCTTACAATGATCTAGTCACAAAGGAGCCCACAAATAGAACTTTGTATGTAGTGGCGTAGCGTGGGGGGTGCAGGGGGGGCTGGCCGCACCGGGCGCAACATCTGGGGGGGGCGCACTCGCACTCGCAGCTCTCTGCCCCTACTGGGTTAGGGGGCGCAAATTACTTGCCTTGCCCCGGGTGCTGACAACCCACGCTACGCCACTGTTTGTAGGGCCAGAAGCTCCTGGGTGACTTTTAGCTATCAGTTCTCAAAGCCGGGTTATAGGAAAATCCTTAGCCTCACTTGGATTATCAAACAAAGACACCAGCCAGGAATATAGGAGCAAAACAGCAGCCAGTAGGTCTGGTCTTTATTTTAAAGGACTGTTGCCCACCACATGGGAGAAGCAAGAAGAAGCCCAGAACAAAGGATGGCTCCCACTTTTATCAGTTTTACAAAGATACCCACAACACCCCTAAAATTGCATCATGCATACATCACAAATACATCAGGTTTGCCACCATCCTTCCCTTGACCTCCACCTCACACCCATCAAGTAAGACAAAAAAAATATTTATAAGTTCCTGGTTTGTCCTGACCAAGAACCTAATCCATTCCTGATGGTTTGCTATTGTCCACAGGATGACTACCTGTCTGGCACCCATTTGCCAGGGTGCCAGTGATGATCTCTTATGCAAAAGGTTGCTGTCTACCTGATCCCAGGTTTCAGGGATTATGGCTGTCTTTTACCAGTTCCCCAAGTCCCCCCTTCGGTAGCCATCTTTTCCCTGAGCAGAACAGCGTTGGAAATTGTGTGGTGCAGCGTGTGATGTGGTGTTTTGAGAAGACATTGTGTGTGAGCATTATAAAAATTCCTGTAACAGCCACTTGAGAAGAGTCTCCCACCTGCCTTCTCTGCAGTCTGGCCACCTGCTCACTCATCGCACTACCTGTCTGCTTCTGGCCAAGGGATATTTGCTACAGCTGTCTTGCTCCTCTCTGCCACGGCCAGAAGTGGTCAGATGTTGCCAGAGGCTGAGCAGGCAAGAGATGGCGATCCAACAGAAAGCTACTCTCCGCATCTGGTTGAAGCAGCTGTGGAAACGGCTACAGACATTGTGAGGGCTCATTTACAGCCTCTTGAGCACCAGTCAGCCCAGCAAGCAATTTATTTCTGCGAGGAATGCATGTGGATGTGGGGGCCTGATCTAAAGGAATACAGTGGTACCTCGGGTTAAGTACTTAATTAGTTCTGGAGGTCCGTTCTTAATCTGAAACTGTACTTAACCTGAAACACCACTTCAGCTAATGGGGACTCCTGCTGCTGCCATGCCACGGCTGCCCGATTTCTGTTCTCATCCTGAAGCAAAGTTCTTCAACCAAGGTACTATTTCTGGATTAGCGGAGTCTGTAACCTGAAGCGTATGTAACCCAAGGTACCACTGTAATGAAATTATTGCTATTGTTATGGAGTAGGACATCCATATTTTCATCGGAGAAATGTTGGAGAGTATGTTCTCTGTTCTTTTGGGAAAGCAGGGAAACCTGCTGACAAATATTCAGCCAGCGATGGCCAAACTTGGCCCTCCAGCTGTTTTGGGACTACAACTCCCATCATCCCTAGCTAACAGAACCAGTGGTCAGTAAGGGTAGTCAAAATTTATTACTCTTGGGTATCTCAGCTGTGGTCTTGAAAAGGGATTACACACAAATGCTGAATATACACCAAGAATCTTCCCCCAAACTTTCCTGAAAAACATGTTTCAGCTTATTGTCAGTTAGTTTCTCATATTGCCTGGGAGAGACCCCAAAAAAATGGGGGGGGGGGAGTTTAGTTGCAGGCCCATTAAGGGAAAATGCTGTGACAAAACACTGTTCGATTCTTAACCTGAAACCTTTCTTAACCTGAGGTACCACTTTAGCTAAAGGGGCCTCCCGCTGCTGCTGCACTGCTGCCACGCGGTTTCTGTTCTCATCCTGAGGTAAAGTTCTTAACCCGAGGTACTACTTCCAGGTTAGCAGAGTCTGTAACCCGACTGAGTCTGTGTTCAGGATGGAATGATGGAAGCTGCAAGGTCTGAAGAGCCAAAGCTTCCCCACCCCTGGAATAGATGGACCCTTGGTCTGGCTAGCCCAGGCATACCCCACCTCAGCCCTCCAGATGTTTTGGGACTACATCTCGTCCTGTTAGCTAGGGATGGTGGGAGTTGTAGTCCCAAAACATCTGGAGGGCCGAGTTTGGGGGTGCCTGAGCTAGCAGGACTCTTCTTAAAAAGCTGGAGGGGGAGGAGAACATGGGTCTCAAATTTTCAGATCTGCCTAGCAACAACATATAAAGGGAGCAGAGGTCTTGCCACCAGCCATTTTGAACAGAATATTCAGCAGAGATGAAAAGAACTGCCCCTTTCTCTCCCGTCTGGCATTGCTGCAAAGTTACTTGAGAAGGAAATGAGATGAAAAAGCAGCTGCTGCTGCTGCTACTGTTGCTAGTGAGTGAAGGCTGCTTATCTCTGCAAACCCACAAGGGAGATCGTCAAGATCTTATCCAGGCACCCTGACCTTTCCCTATTATTGTACCTTGATTCCTATCTCAGTGCACGACAGCAACTTCCAGTCCACCTCCCACCACCAAGCCATTCGTATCTGCAGCACAAACAAGGCTACAGCTACCTCCCGAGATTTCTATTACTACCCACCCACTGCAAAAGGTTTAACATGCCAAACATCAGCTCGCTTTAAATGAAATAAAAGAGAAGGAATCAACAGCTATTGAATGGATTAAACGGCTATGAAACTTTTCAATGTAATAAGAAGGTGCTTAACATTGCTGCTTTACTGGTTTTAGGTTGTATTTTTGTTTCAGTGATATATCATTCGTTTGTTTTGGGACTGTACACTGCTTAGAGGTTTTTTAAATACTAAACAGCATATGAATGCTTTTAAATGAAATGAAATCACTACTCAGGCTTAAAAGTCTCTCTCGTTCAGCATCCTGATTCCATTTCCAACACTTGCCTGTCAAAGGCTTCCAGAAAAAATCCACAAGCAGGCCTTGAAGGCAGCAGCCCTGTTTTTATCACCTGGTTGGCTTCCATCTGTCCTAAGAGACAATGGAGTGCTCCTCCGGGGGTGAAGTCAAACCAGAATGATCTTCCCAGAATGCAAGCCTGGGCAGTGTGTATGGAGCTCCTGGCTGCCCAGACGACAAGACTCCCCTCTCGGCCTCGCTGAGCTGGTCCAAAAGAAAACAGAGCAATACGTTTGGCACCAGCTTTGACCAAGCTGCAGGTGTTACCAGAAAGACCAGCAGTGGAGGAAGCCTGTTATATACTGAGTTGAATAGGATCCAAAATGCAGCAGTCTGATTGGCCCTAGAACAATAGGACCCAGAATGCAGCAGTCTGATTGGTCCACAGGAGTCACCCAATCCAGCTCCAGGTAGAAGTGAATCCGCAACCTGATTGGCCTACAGGAGAATCCCGGAATTAGCCACTCACATGGGGCCCACTGTGTAAATAATGTATATAAAGCAGACATTCTGGGGGAACTTCCATTCCTCACTACTATGAGCTGAAAAAGAGCATGAATTCCACTCTCGACTCTGAGTATATTTCAAAGCCTCTCAGGGACCTAGGGCACGGCAAACCGCCCACAGGAGCAGAGCGAACCGTGGGGCCTCCTCTGCCCTACAGCTGGGGGGGAGGCAGTGGGTGGACGGCGCAGAGCCAGTGGCTGGTGGCCATTGGGGGTGATTGGCATGGTGACTGGCACCCAGGGGGGCGATCGGCGCCCCGGGGGCAGCACAGCGATCCGCCCAGGGGAGATTTTGTCACCCCCCTCAGAAATGACACCCAGGGGCGTACCGACCCCCTGCCCTCTCTTCCTATGCCCCTGAGAAGGATGCACACAAAATGCCATCCAACCATCTTAGGGGCTCCACTCCAGATTTGTGTAGGACTCACGCCTTACGCCTTTTCTTTTCCCGAAGATCTCCCTCAAGGCATCAGAGGTTTAGGATCAGAATTTTTCTTTTCCTAGATGGGCTAGCTTCCCAGGTTGATGATCCCCACCTGATCCACCTAAGACCCCTGAATATGGAGGATCCATTTAGCCACCATGTCTAATAGCCATTCATAGGACCTGCCCTTATTGAATGACTGACTGACTGAGAGCTCTACACTAAAGGCACATTCCCTATCCAATGGCAGGTATTGCCATACGTTTACAATCAGTAAAGTGTTTTAAAAGAAACACCAGCTAGGACACCACATAACAGACACTGCAGCACACTTGAAGGGCTAGTACCCAGTGCGCCACATGAGTGCAAGATCCGTAACTTAACTATGTATGAGATTAAACCCCAGAACATGTGACATTAATTTGATGCTAAATGTTTCTTCCAAGTCTCTAACAACCTGAGAAGGAAAACATACATGCATTTCAATTACCTGGTATTAAATCATTTATATAAGCAAGGCCTATTTCTGAATCGTAAGTGTTCAGGGGCAAAAAACAGCGAGTGAGTTTACGGGAGGTAGGGAGGCTCACAGCCCCTGCCAACCACGCTATTCACTTCAGATATAAATGCACAGTGATAAAGACAAAGATATCACACGTACTACTAAAAATACAAGGCACACAGCATGTGGCAGACCAGCCTCAGGTTCAAGTGCTAATTTTAAAATGCTGGCTGCAAAAACAACTCCTGTCAAGGCAAATGTTTGCTTGAATGGCTAGGTACAATTTGTAAAGGTGGGAAATTGGCTGGCTGCTTATCTTGCTAGAGGACAAGAGACATCCCAACTATCAAGGCTGAAGGAGTTTATTAAAAGCCAAATTTAGGATATGAACCTGCCCACGGCCCCACCATTCGTAGCTAATTTTGCTGCCGCGTGATGGAGGTAAGCGAGTTGCCCAAATAAGAAAATGGATGTACTCTCCTTTTCTGGGGCAGACTAGCAGTATATTAAGTATTAATGACTCATAGTGTGGTTTGTCTTCCATCTGTATTTGGTTTAACGGTGACATCAACTGATTTAGACTGATTTTGTGTGTGTGTGTGTGTGTGTGTGTGTGTGTCCCGATTTACCCAGTGCATCTGGGGCAGTGCAGAATTTTCTCCTTATGTTTTTGGCTGACAAATGCATTTTGGTTTGCAAAAGTGTGCATCACACAGGTCTATGCATCAGGAAACCCTGGATCTGCCCCACCCCCTCACCAGAAATATGAAACGACCCTTGGCCGGTTGAATGAGCCCAACAGACCATTATATCCCCAGATTCATAACACTAACCCACCCCCAAGAAACAGCCACCTGATCACAGGTGTGTACAGTAGTACCTCGGGTTACATACACTTCAGGTTACATACGCTTCAGGTTACAGACTCCACTAACCCAGAAATAGTACCTCGGGTTAAGAACTTTGCTTCAGGATGAGAACAGAAATTGTGCTCTGGCGGCAGCAGGAGGCCCCATTAGCTAAAGTGGTGCTTCAGGTTAAGTACAGTTTCAGGTTAAGAATGGACCTCCGGAATGAATTAAGTACAGTGGTACCTCGGGTTACGTACTTAATTCGTTCCAGAGGTCCGTTCTGTTCTCATCCTCAAGCAAAGTTCTTAACCCGAGGTAATATTTCTGGGTTAGCGGAGTCTGTAACCTGAAGCGTATGTAACCTGAAGCATATGTAACCCGAGGTACCACTGTAATCACAAAAGTATCCCTCCCAAAGAAGACAATCAGCGAACACAGATGACAACACAAACACACTTTGACCCAACCCCAATACAAAAGCAATGCATTTATTTCAAGCTATTCCATTAGAACTCCTCCCGGTCGCAGTTCTGTATCCTAAAACAGTTTACCCAGTCACCCACATTGGCAACCCAAATCATGGGTTTCTGACATGTTTAAGCTAGGATGACAAGTCTCAGTGCCACCCAAAAGCCTGTGCTTGCTCTACCCCTTTGTGCCCTGCTCAGTGATAAAAATTAGCCAGGCGCATTGTGTTACTGGTGCGGGTCCAACTGCAACCACATGTAGAACTCTGGGTGCCACATTGGCAACTGATATCTGCTTCTGGCTGGCCCCTCCAGCTATCTTAAGCAGGTAAGAAGATGAGCTTATTTATTGCATCTACATCCCATCTTTTTCTCCAAGGGGTACATGGTGCACCCCATTTGCTCCAGTGAGATATTTCAGGGAGTTCCAAACACAGACCCAGGGTCTGTGCTTCTTGTTGGAAAAATCAGGAACAGCAGAGACTGTGGTATCTTTATGATATATGGTCATTTACGCATATATACAACCTGAGCCTAAAGGTAAAAAGGTAAAAGACCCCTGGACAGTTAATTCCAGTCAAAGGCGACTATGGGGTTGTGGTGCTTATCTTGCTTTCAGGCCAAGGGAACTGGTGTTGGTCCACAGACAGCTTTCCAGGTGATGTGGCCAGCAGGACTAAGCCACTTCTGGCGAACCAGAGCAGCACACGGAAACGCTGTTTACCTTCCTGCCGGAGTGGTACCTATTTATCCACTTGCACTTTGATGTGCTTTCAAACTGCTAGGTTGGCAGAAGCAGGGACTGAGTAACGGGAGCTCACCCCATCACAGGGATTCGAACCGCCGACCTTCTGATCGGCAAGCCCTGGGCTCTGTGGTTTAGACCACAGCGCCACCCGTGTCCCACACATAAATTCTGCCACTAGCTTAATTGGAATTTTAGGGTGTCTTTCACCCCCAGACAATACCTTGGCTGCGTGGAAACCCCACTTTCAAACTCCAAATCTGGACTTCCCCCAGGCATCGGTCATCCGGGTTTGCTTATTTATTTGTTTTGAGTCTCCACAAAGTGGGTGTGTGCCTCATCTTGGCCTTTATCAACACTGAAAAGTCAGCCCCATTTTCAGGTCCAGCTTGCATCCAACTGCGCCCCAACTTCCAATTAGAGTTAACTGGAAAATCCAATTGAAAATGAGCAGATGTCGCTCCAAGAAACACAGCGAAAGGGACCAATTCTACAAAGCCAGAAAGTCAGGATATTTGGCACAGGCACACTGCACATGATAAGTAAAATATTTTCCCCAACTAGACTGGGCTTCGTATTAATAAACTTATGAAATATTAAGCAAAAAACAGCAGATGGAATACGGGACTTTAAAAAAAAAAAAAAGATATTGCAACCGCTCAGAATCATAAATATTTAAAATATGGATTAAGTTTTCTCAATTTTTTTTTAAAGAAAAGATCTGATAAGACCTGATCATAGTGCCCAATAGAATTTGCTCATTTATACCATGGAATGCCAGGTACATACTTGAATATCAAGGGACCAAACCTAGCATTTAAGTTGGAGGCCTGACTAATGCTCTAGCTTGCCTCCAGGCTCAGATTCTCATTAACCTCCCCTGCTATCCTTACACATTTCTCGGGAGCACTGCTGCAGAAGATGTTTTTCCCTGCAATTTTTAAAAACCGCTTTCCGACCTGCACCAACCCCCCCCCCCCCCCCATTATAAAACAGGGCACACTTTTCAACGCAGCGGCACCCAGATTGGTAGCAAGCCTCGTCTGCTCTCCTGTCCCATCAACCCTTTCCTAGGCAAGGGTCACAGTTAAACACAATCAAAATTCATTCGTTTCATGTACTTCAGGGAAGGGACTTGATTTGGAGGCTAGGCACGTGAGTGTGCAGACAGCTCGCCCACAAGAGGAAAGTTAACGGCTAGAAAAAGGAGGAGAACAGGGTGCAGCTTTGAGGCTGCGCTGCCTTTCAGACTTCCTTCAGATTCTGCTTGTCTGCAGCGGAGCAGATAGCTATATTAAGCTGGCAAATAGTCACCTTTCTTGCCACCGCCGTTTGTGTGAATTTCCCCCACCCCACTCCTCCTTTCCCTTGAATGCTGGAGAGCAAACTGATGAAAAAGAACATCCTTCGCCGGTTCAAAAGAAGTGGCTCGTTGAGACTGCATGAAATGGCTCTGCGCTGTGTGTCTGAAAGACCCTTTCCAACGTAAGGGTGGCAAAGTAGCCGGCAGAGAATGCGATTCCTTTTAAAGCAGCATTCCGGGCTCAGAGTACCTGTCAGGTGCAGAGGCAAAGCAAGTCTTTTATGCCCTGCCCGCCCAACTTTGAAGAGCTGTGTTGGCAGGGGCTTGCTTTCTGGGTTCCATTCCCAGCTCCAAGCTGGATAGAGCCCACCTTGACTTCACCAGTACAGTGGTGCCCCGCAAGACGAATGCCTCGCAAGACGAAAAACTCGCTAGACGAAAGGGTTTTGCGTTTTTTGAGTTGTTCCGCAAGACGAATTTCCCTATGGGCTTGCTTCGCAAGGCGAAACGTCTTGCGAGTTCTTGCGAGTTTGTTTCCTTTTTCTTAAAGCCGCTAAGCCGCTAAGCCGTTAATAGCCGCTAAGCCACTAAGCCGTTAATAGCCGCTAAGCCGCTAATAGCCGCTAAGCCGCTAATAGCCGTGCTTCGCAAGACGAAAAAACCGTAAGACGAAGAGACTCGCGGAATGGATTAATTTCGTCTTGCGAGGCACCACTGTATTTCTCATACTTAGCCCAAGGTCAGGGGCAATTCTTCCAAACCCTCCAAGTGCCCCTATTTTCCAGGCACAGTCCCGGATTTACAGAAGCTGTCCCAGTTTCTGATCTGATCCCAAGATGTCCCATTTTACCTTAGAGTGTCCCTATTTTCATTGGAGAAATGCTAAAGGATATAGCAAAGGTAAAGGGTAAAGGGACCCCTGACTGTTAGGTCCAGTCGCGGACGACTCTGGGGTTGCGGCGCTCATCTCACTTTACCGGCCGAGGGAGCCAGCGTACAGCTTCTGGGTCATGTGGCCAGCATGACTAAGCCGCTTCTGGCGAACCAGAGCAGTGCATGGAAACGCCATTTACCTTCCCGCCGGAGCGGTACCTATTTATCTACTTGCACTTTGACGTGCTTTCGAACTGCTAGGTTGGCAGGAGCAGGGACCAAGCAATGGGAGCTCACCCCATTGCGGGGATTCAAACCACCGACATTCTGATTGGCAAGCCCTAGGCTCTGTGGTTTAGACCACAGCACCACCCGTGTCCCTGAAGGATATAGTAGGACGTCCCTATTTTCATCAGAGAAATGTTGGAGGGTGTGGAATTATACAACCCCCAAGCCAAGGAGATAAGTAACTATACAACCTTTAAAAGACATCTGAAGGCAGCCCTGTATAGGGAAGTTTTTTTAAAAAAAAAGTTAACTGTTTTATTATGTTTATACAGTGGTACCTCAGGTTAAGAACTTAATTCGTTCTGGAGGTCCGTTCTTAACCTGAAAGTGTTCTTAACCTAAGGTACCACTTTAGCTAATGGGGCCTCCTGCTGCTGCTGCGCTGCCGCCACACAATTTCTGTTCTCATCCTGAAGCAAAGTTCTTAACCTGAAGCACTATTTCTGGGTTAGCGGAGTCTGTAACCTGAAGCGTATGTAACCCAAGGTACCACTGTAATGAAATTATTGCTATTGTTACTGTTATGGAATAGGACATCCATATTTTCATCGGAGAAATGTTGGAGAGTATGTTCTCTGTTCTTTTGGGAAAGCAGGGGAACCTGCTGACAAATATTCAGCCAGTGATGGCCAAACTTGGCCCTCCAGCTGTTTTGGGACTACAACTCCCATCATCCCTAGCTACAGTGGCGTAGTGTGGGTTGTCAGCACCCGGGGCAAGGCAAGTAATTTGCGCCCCCTCTCTCCGCACCGCACCGCACGCCTGGCACCCCCCCCTCCACAGTGGGCGGCGACCCGGCGGCTCGGATCGGATTCGCACAGCCAGCACTGCAGTGAGAGAGAGTGAGTGAGCCAGGTAGGGGCAGAGAGCTGTGAGTGCAAGCGCCCCCCCCCGATGTTGCGCCCGGTGCAGCCGGCCCCCCCTGCACCCCCCACGCTACGCCACTGCCTAGCTAACAGAACCAGTGGCCAGTAAGGGTAGTCAAAATTTATTGCTCTTGGGTATTTCAGCTGTGGGCTTGAAAAGGGATTACACAGAAGTGCTGAATATATACCAATAATCTTCTCCCAAACTTTTCTGAAAAACATGCTTCAGCTTATTGTCAGTTAGTTTCTCATATTGCCTGGGAGAGACCAAAAAAAAAAATGGGGGGGGGGAGTTTAGTTGCAGGCCCATTAAGGGAAAATGCTGTGACAAAGCACTGGTCTTCAGCTCTCCCAGTACTTTAGAAAACACAGGCCTCTCTGTATGCTGCAATCTTTTGGCACACAAAACAAAAGGTCTCAGCCCTGTGTCATTCAAGACCAGACAACAGAACCGCACAATGCAGCGGTCCTTTGACAGAAAACCTGATATTTCACCCTGCCTCCCTTGTCTCTAATTTGCCAAGAGCTTTTCACGCAGATAATATTACAATCGTGGCGAAGGCCTTGACAACTGCAGCCATAAATCAATTTCAAATCTTTCATTAATCATCTTTCTGTAATCAGTGGCTATTCAGTGCAAATTTACATCTCATTTCTGTTGGCCAAACACCCGCATTAGGGCTTTGAAGCTTAGTCAGGCTTAAATGATTATATATCCCCTAATAAACAGCGAAGTCTTCTCTGTCTGCATGCCGTGAGCTGCATTAAATGGCCTGTGCTGCATACTGTACGTCAGGCAAGAGGACCCCCCAAACGCACAGCTATTTGTCACACAGGGATCCAAGGCTCAAGGGATTTATGGCCCAGTAGGGATTGTGGTCTAAACCACAATAGGACTTGCCGATCAGAAGGTCGGCAGTTCAAATTCCCATGACGGGGTGAGCTCCCGTTGCTGGGTCCCTGCTCCTGCCAACCTAGCAGTTCGAAAGCACGTCAAAGTGCAAGTAGATAAATAGGTACCTCTCCGGCGGGAAGGTAAACGGCATTTCCGTGCGCTGCTCTGGTTCGCCAGAAGCGGCTTAGTCATGCTGGCCACATTACCTGGAAGCTATATGCCGGCTCCCTCGGCCAATAAAGTGAGATGAGCGCCGCAACCCTAGAGTTGGCCACGACTGGACCTAATGGTCAGGGGTCCCTTTACCGTTACCTAGGGATTTCAACCACCTCTCTCCCATGATGAAGTCCAGTGGGTCCTCCTAGCTAAACCAAGCGTGCAGATGCCTTTCTGGGTTAGACACACACACAAAAAAGATCCATCCAATCTGGCATTGCAATCTGACAATAGTTAGCCAAACATCTCAAGGAGCTGATAAGGAAAGTTGGAAAGCAACAATTCTTCCCTAGAATACGGAATCCCTAGAATACAGCATTCCACCTCTGGCAACTTAATAGCCAGCTGGCCAAACAAAGAGTCAGGGGACATTGAAGAGAGACTAGTATGTGCTACTGTTTTCAAGGTCAGCATCTAAACCATTGAGCCTCTTGGGCTTGCTGACTGGAAGGTCGGTGGTTCAAATCCCCACGATGGGGTGAGCTCCTGTTGCTCTGTCCCAGCTCCTGCCAACCTAGCAGTTCGAAAGCACACCAGTGCAAGTAGATAAATAGGTGGCGGGAAGGTAAACGGCGTTTCCGTGCACTCTGGTTTCCGTCTGTGGACAAACGGCGGCTCCCTCGACCTGAAAGCGAGATGAGTGCCACAGCGCCATAGTCGCCTTTGACTAGACTTAACCGTCCAGGGCTCCTTTATCTTTTTACCTTTTCACATCACCCAGCATGCTGGTGTCCCCTCCTGCCAGCAACTTTTTGATTTTTACATTTTTAAAAAATAATGGCCCTGCATTCCAAACAAACCCCACAGTGCCTCTAGGCCCAATCTAGTTTTTACCACTATGGCGCTGCCACCCACCCAACAACCCTCTGGGAAGGTCATAACATGGTGGAAGCCATGTTCAGGGCCCCTGAAATATGGCATGGGTTCTACACAGTTTCCTTATATCCTTCCGCAATGTTACAAGCAGAGATCTAGCAGTCTTCCAGCACACTGAGTACAGTGGTACCTCTGGATGCGAATGGTATCCGTTCCGGAGCCCCGTTCGCATCCAGAAGCGAACCTTCGTCTGCGCGTGCGCAGGTCGCAATTCGCCGCTTTCGCGCATGCGCGTGACATCATTTTGACCATCTGCGCATGTGCGAGTGGCGAAACCCGGAAGTAACACGCTCCATTACTTCCGGGTCACCGCAGCGCACAACCCGAAAATACTTATCCCGAAGCTACTTCAACCCGAGGTATGGCTGTACACGTGTGGAGCTCATAAATCTAACTGAACATGAAGGAAAGGAGAGGTAGGAGGATACCAAACGACAGTGGAAAGAGCAGAAAGAATTGGCCTAGCCTTGTCTACCATTTTGCCCGTCTCTTAGCGCAGACCCAGGTCATCGAGCCTGAGCTTCCACAGCGCCAACCATTATGAACCACCATGGGCAAGATTGGCAGCAAGAACAACAACAACAATTTTGTTATTTATACCCCACTCACCTGGCTGGGTTTCCCCAGCCACTCTGGGTTGCTTATAGAGTGCCAAAAAAGGATAGAACTTTTTTTATGTATGCCACAATAGCAGCAAGAATACTCATCGCGAAGTATTGGAAGACACAAGATCTACCCACCCGGGAAGAATGGCAGATGAAGGTGATGGACTACATGGAACTGGCGGAAATGACTGGCAGAATCCGAGACCAGGGAGAAGAGTCGGTGGAAGAAGATTGGAAGAAATTTAAAGCTTATTTACAGAAACATTGTAAAATTAAGGAATGTTAGAAGGATGTTGGAATGAGATAATGCGGTTTTAGCAGAAATGCTATAAAGGATTAAGGAAAAATAGATTGCTAAATGGTGAAGGAGGGAAAGTAAAGTTACATTATATTAAGATAAAATAGAGGACAAAAACTGGAAAAGATGGAAAGGATTTGCTGAAATAGCTAATTGAACTAGAATACAAAAAAGGGAGGTGTGAGGAGGTCAAGGAAACGAGCAAATGAAAGATAAGATATGGGAAGATTTATTGTATTTATTGTATTTTTTCTTTTCTTTTTTCTTGTTTCTTTTTTTTATTATTGTGATGTGATGTTTTGTATTTCTTCTTTTTTAATTTTTTCTTTTTGTAACCCTTTAAAATTCAATAAATACTATTTAAAACAACAACAACAATTTTGTTATTTATACCCCACTCACCTGGCTGGGTTTCCCCAGCCACTCTGGGTTGCTTACAGCACATAAAAAATTGTAAAACATTAGACATCAAAACTTTCCCGATACAGGGTCCTAGGTTCTCTTGCTAATTATGCTGGTTTAAAGGTGCATTTTATATTTGACTTCCTTTAGTAATGCTTTCTTCAAAATGTTTTATTTTGAAATCTTTTGAGATAATATTTTAGCTGCCCGTTATGTTGCTTTGAATGTATGCTTCGTATTTGTTTCATTCTAGATTGTTTGATCTAATGTTTTAATGTAGGTTGTCAACTGCTTTGAGTTTTTCCCCCTTAAAAATATAAAGCGGCACAGAAATGAAATTGTTGTTGTTGTTGTTGTTGTTGTTGTTGTTGTTGTTGTTATTACCTACTCTTACTTCTCCCACTTAGCTTTTTTTTATGCTTGTCTATTTTTCTGCCTCTAGAGTTGTTTAAGCCAGGCAAATTGCTTTGCTAATTTGGGCAGTTATTTATGTAATACCATCACTATAAGAAATAGTTTCCAGAATAGCAGACTTTCTGAAGGAGAGTTGCTTCTACACATACACTCTATGTAGACATCCACACATGTGGGGCCTGAGGAGAGGGTCAGGACCAAAGAACATTTTGACCCCAAGGACATGGCCTTGCTTCTCCCCCCTACACACCGATGGTTCTAAAGCACATTTTAAATAAAACACAAAGTGTATTAATTAAAAGATCACTCATTGCCATGTATTATTTACATTATAAAAGCCTCACATTAATTATATATTCACTTTTAGCCAGGAACAAACCTACTGTACTCAACAAGAAATGAAAAATGTTTCTACTGAGACTGCATTATAACATGCAAATGGATCTCTTTGCATGATGGTGTGGTCCAAGGGCTACAGACTAATATCTAACTCATTAAAGTGGTAAATGGTTTACAAACTTAATCCGTTCTGGAAGTTCTTAAACCGAAACTGTTCTTAAACCGAGGTGCGCTTTCCCTAATGAGGCCTCCTGCCGCCGGTGCCCTTCCACTGTTCGGCTTCCATTTGTAGACAGAGGTAAAGTTCGCAAACTGGGACACTACTTCCGGTTTTGCAAAGTTCTTATACCAAATAGTTTGTAAACAGGGCTGTTCTTAAACCGAGGTAAAGGTAAAGGGACCCCTGACCATTAGATCCAGTCACGGACGACTCTGGGATTGCGGCACTCATCTTTGAAGACACTCGAACTCAGGACGCAAGGGAGAAACGTGCTAACAGGAAGGCACGATTGGCAAATCCACACCGTGATCAACTCCCCCCCGGAAACCAATGTCCCCACTGTGGAAGGACATGTGGATCCAGAATTGGCCTCCACAGTCCATTATGGACTCATTGTTAAAACCATGTTTATGGAAGACAATCTTACTCGGCTATGAGCGATCGCCAAAGAAGAAAGACTCCTCCACCCCGGTTGTAAATATTAATATTTAGCATTTTTTTTTCAATGCACGTGTAATTTTTTCCTGCTGTGGTAAAAAAGTGATTAACATGCCCACATGTTGTTTCTAATACATCCTTTTTATGAAAAAAGATTTATTTTCTTGCTTTAATCAAGTAATGACTTAAAATGATAATTTGGTAGGGAAACAACTTGTCAAGCATTTAACAGATTTGATTAACATTTATAAAAACAGCAGGGGGACATTGATTTATTACTGTTGCTATTATTATCCAGATTTTGATAGGCCTAGGCAGAGGCAAACAAGCAGAACAAGAAAAGTCAGGTTCGTGCCTCTTTTTTTGAGGGGGGAGAGAACCTCTTCACAAAGATGGTTATGGAGGTACAAAATAAACTCTTTCTGTAAAGAGAAACCTCTTGTTCTGCTCCTGTGCAAAATACAACAGGGGTTCTCACTTGTTTAAGGTGGCGACAGTAAAAAAGGTAAAGGACCCCTGGACAGTTGAGTTCACTCAAAGGCGACTATGGGTTGCAGCGTTCATCTGGCTTTCAGGCTGAGGAGCCGGCGTTTGTCTGCAGAAAGGTTTTCTGGGTCATGTGGCCAGCGTGACTAAGGCGCTTCTGGTACAACAGGACACCATGACGGAAGCCAGAGGCACAGAAACAAGGGCCGTCTTACCCATAGGCGATAGGGGTGCGGGGCATCCGGGCACTGGGCTCTCAGGGGCCCAAGAGTTGAGTCCGGGAAAGAGCCTACCCATCGGTTGGAGTGCCGCAACGGGCTCTTCTGCTGCGGGCAGCTCTGCGCCGCGAGTTCAGGGGCGACCGAGCCAGCGAGACACTGAGCCGGCTGGCCAGCTCTGCCCTCCTGCGTGCCTGAGATTGGCGTAGGGCAGGGAGAGGCCTGCCCAGCACATGCTGCTTGTACCACAAGGCGCCCAGCTTAACTCAGTCGCTGACGCCGATGCCTCGGGCTGGTTTGTTGCGCTGGGCTCCTCTGCTGCTTGTGTTGGTTGCCCAATCCCCAGGTGCCCAACAACTCTAGGGAACAAAGGTCAACAACTTTGGGGTCGTCCCCCCTTAAAAAAAGGCTGACAACTCTGGACAACCTTGGGGGGGTGCGCCAGGCGGATCTTTGCACCCCGGTGCCGCATATGTTTAAGACAGCCCTAACAGAAACGCCATTTACCTTCCCGCCACAGCGATACCTATTTATCTACTTGCACTGGCGTGCTTTCAGACTGCTAGGTTGGCAGAAGCTGGGACAGAGCAATGGGAGTTCACCCCGTTGCAGGGATTCGAACCGCTGACCTCCTGATTGGCAAGCCCAAGAGGCTCAATGGTTTAGACCACAGCGCTACCCACTCCCCTACAGCGATAGTACAGGTTCGGCAGCAAAGCACACAGTCCAGAAGTCAATATTGCAAATTATAAAAGCAAGGCAAGGGATTCAGAAGCTGCAAAGCTCTTAGCCTATCCTACCTCAGAAGGTTGAAATGAGAAGGAGGAGAACCATGTACACCACCTCCAGCTCACTGGAATATAAAGGTGGCATAAAAATGTAATAAATAAAAATAAAATATTGAGAATTCTGTAGGCTCTCTTGGAAACAGGCAGAGTAGGCAAGAGGAGATCAAGGTAGACAAAGGGGAGGAGGGGCGAGGACAGTTCTACAATATCCATTTCTCCCACTATCTCTTTCTGGTTACCTTCTGTGCCCTTAAGAATGAGCTGTTCCTGCTTCTCCCGATCTCTAGGGGTAACTATGAGGACCCTCCACGCCTCTAGGTCTTGTTGAACTCCAGCGGCCATTGTGGCTAGTGCATGTTCATTAGGGATGACAGGGGTTGCAATTCAACAACATCTGGAGGGCACACATTCCCATCCCTGCTCTAGGGAAAGATGGCTACTAAATGAATAAAAAAACAAAAATATTGTGGGCTAAAGGCTAACAAATTTATCTCAGCAAAAGCTTTAATGGCCTTGAGACCCCTTCATCAGATGCATAAATTCAGGCAATGGAGGGGCTTAATCTCACAGAATTATACTGGCGGTTATTTCAGCAGCACAGTCAAAAAAGGATTTTTGACACAATGAATAAGCTTGCATTTTGTGATGTGTGATCAGGCCAATGCCTTCAGGCTCCAGGTTTCTTTGCAGATCATTATCTCTCACCAACTGAACCCACAGATACCCTGCCACTCACAACTGCATTGTGTAAGAACATTTTGACAGTGGACCCACCATAGACAAACTTGGGCAGGGGCATAAACTGAAAATAAAGAAACTGAAAGCTGGCTTAACTGTTTCCCCAAGGAAATAAAATTCACCATCCTCAGGTGCTCAGAACTTTGATTAGAGTGGGGTTTGTTTTTTTTTAAAAAAAGGCACGAATTTACAAATCTTTGCATATAAGCCAAACACTGCCCAGGTATTAAGCCTATGAAAAACAAGTCCCTTTCATAGATTCTGTATTTTCTGTTTTTATATTGTGATTTTGTTTTGTGAACCACCCTGAGATCTACAGGTATAAGTCGGTATACAAATTAAAGAAATAAATTAAAGAAAACAATGGAGCAGTCTGCTTTTCCATCCCAGTTTCAGTTATTCATGCAAACTCCACTAAGTGCCTTGGAGATCCTTGGTGTTAGGAACTGCAAGCATAAATTATGTGCATGTTGAATTTTGTATGATGTGCACCCCATTTTTAAATTATTCCGCAGATGTTTACCCTAGATAAGTAAAAAAAAAAAAAACAAACAAACAGAAGGGAGGTTAATTGACCACACTAATGAAATTATGGCATTTCTGTTGGAAATCAAATGTGTCAGAGTATCACAATGCCCCTACCCAATGCAAGGGACATATTCCTTTCTTCTTTGTAGAAAAGGAAGTATTTCTCCAAAATGCCTTCATATTTTCCAAAAATCAGATTAGTCTATTAAGGAGACCTAATGATGAACTTAAAAAACAAATCAGCCAAACATACCTTGGCTCCTCCCCCTTCCTTAAATAATAAAAAGCCTTTATATCAGATATCTAGTTTCTCAAAGTCTTCTAGAGCCTACATGACATATGAGGCAGTCACAAAGCAGCGGTTTTCATTTTAACTATAAAAAAGGAACTTTAAACTGAATTCTCCATAGAAGAGTATTTCTGTCTCAGGGCAACTGCAAATAATTCTTCCCAATATCAGGGCAATCGTCCCAAGAGTCAGTTTTGTGACAGGGCAGAGCAAAAAGCAACAGTGAGCACAGCCCTGTAGCAGACGTTAAATCTTTTATATGCACTGTGCCGCCTTTGGGACATTTACAGTAAATCTGGGCAGCCTCTCAACATGGGAACTTGCAGAATTACAGCAGCTATGGTGTGATCGAAAGAAGCAGCACAACATGGTTGGGTGTGTACGTTAACGGTCCAATTATAATTTCCCCCATAGCAAAGGCACATAATATTACTCCTAGTTAGAAAAACAAAAAAAACCCTACTCCTTGCCCATCCAGAACTGACCCCACTCTCTCGAACAAAATTTGAAATGGGAATTGAATTTGAAATGGGAATGGGAAGCAATAAAAAGTATTACTAGACAGTGGCAAAGCTGTATGCTCCAGCACAGGGGGCTGAGAGCAGGCAGGGGCATGGCTGGCACGCGCCCCAAGGGCATGGTGCGCGTCCCTGGGAGCATGGCATGTGTCCTGGGGGCGTGGCATGCCACCTGCGGAAGCGCGGCGTGCATCCTGGGGCTTTGCGCACCACCCACGGGAGCGTGGAATGAGTCCTGGAGACGTGGTACACCACCCGTGGGGGTGTGGCGCCCGGCACAGGGAGGGTGCGCGGTGCGTGTTGGGGGCGGCCGCAATGGCACCCCCCTCCCCGATGGTGCCGGGGGCAGTGCACTCCTCCCGTTCCTCCGCCAGTGTTACTAGAGGAGACCGAGAGGAGATGTGATAGCCATCTTCAAATATCTAAAGGGTTCTCTCATGGAAGATCCAGCAAGGGCCATCGAGTCCAACCCCCTGCCAAGCAGGAAACACCATCAGAGCACTCCTGACATATGGTTGTCAAGCCTCTGCTTGAAGACCTCCAAAGAAGGAGACTCCACCACACTCCTTGGCAGCAAATTCCACTGTCGAACAGCTCTTACTGTCAGGAAGTTCTTCCTAATGTTTAGGTGGAATCTTCTTTCTTGTAGTTTGGATCCATTGCTCCATGTCCGCTTCTCTGGAGCAGCAGAAAACAACCTTTCTCACTCCTCTATGTGACATCCTTTTATATATTTGAACATGGCTATCATATCACCCCTTAACCTCCTCTTCTCCAGGCTAAACATGCCCAGCTCCCTTAGCCGTTCCTCATAAGGCATCGTTTCCAGGCCTTTGACCATTTTGGTTGCCCTCCTCTGGACACGTTCCAGTTTGTCAGTGTCCTTCTTGAACTGTGGTGCCCAGTTGTACATTTGAATAATTAAGGTATACTATTCATTGTATCAAACTGTAGATTTCAAAGGAAGTCTCATAAAGTTCAGCGAAAAAAGCAGAAGACCCAGTGGATCAGTTCATTCTCGAGTCAGTTCATGCATAGTTACAGTTCCACAGAATCCTTTCACAGAGTCTGCAACCACTACTATGCCATAAGATCCACTATCCTGCAATATTACATATGAGCCTGTTCTACTGATGAAGCCTAGGATGGCAAAACAAGGCTAATATTCCAGAAATCCTTGTCTTAAGACTCTGTGAAAAGATTCTGTGGAACTGTAACTATGAACTATGTGGAACTATGAACAGACAGGTGGAACAGACACTTATACATGTATGGACCTTTTTTATTATTAGATTTTATAAACTTTATTTGGAATTCGACAATAACAAAATGTTGTGTGTTTTAATTGGAGCTGACTAGACCAGAAACTATCTTGAGAGAGAAGGGAGACAGCAGGAGCCCCTCAGTTTTTAGCTAAATTTTTCGTAACAGGCTTCCATCACCACAATAGGCACACTTGTCAGACTACAATGGTAGATGTCAGTTTTACAACCGGATTTTTAAGGAACAGGTGAATTCTTTAATGCTCCGCCCCCTCCACGTGTTGGAGCTATGAACTGTTTATTATGCTTGCATTTTATTCTATTGTATATTTAAAAATATTTTTATTGATGTACAGTGGTACCTCAGGTTAAGTACTTAATTCGTTCCGGAGCTCCGTACTTAACCTGAAACTGTTCTTAACCTGAAGCACCACTTTAGCTAATGGGGCCTCCTGCTGCTGCCGCGCTACCGGAGACCGATTTCTGTTCTCATCCTGAAGCAAAGTTCTTAACCCGAGGTATTATTTCTGGGTTAGCGGAGTCTGTAACCTGAAGCGTATGTAACCTGAAGCGTATGTAACCTGAGGTACCACTGTAAACTGCTCTGGTGCGTACGAGTGAAGGAGGGTACACAAAACGCTTAAAACATATAAATAATAGCAGTGTGCTATGGAAACTGTTCCTGCAGCACCTCACTCTTACCCATTTAGTCTGGAGTTTTAGAGAATATGTATTTCAAAAGAGAAAGAACAGTAGCTGGAACTGGCGGAAATGACTGGCAGAATCCGAGACCAGAGAGAAGAGTCGGTGAAAGAAGACTGGAAGAAATTCAAAGACTATTTACAGAAATATTGTAAAATTAAGGAATTTTAGAAGGATGTTGGATAGAAACTAAGAGGTTTTTAGCTGTAATGCTTTAAGAGATATGAAAAAAGGTTTGCAACTGGGTAAAAGTTTAATGGTAAGGATTTGCTGAACTAACAAAAAAGGGAGGTATGAGGAGGTCCGGGGAAATAAGTATAGGGAAGATAGGTTATGGAAAATTAATGTCTTTTTAACTGTTTTATTTGGTATGTTTCTTTTTATTTTTTACTTTTTTGGTTATACTTTAAAAAATTTTATTCTTCTTTTTTCTGTATTCTGTATTTTTTTGTATTTCTTGAAACTTTAATAAATATCATTTAAAAAAAAAAAAGAAAGAACAGTAGCAAGGGGGAACAAAGCAAAAAAATACAAAATCACACATAGGCCGCAGATACCTGCTTTGTATATTTAGCCGGCATTCCCTGCAGACCCACAATTATGCCCCCTCCCCCGTCAGGAGCAATTACTTGGCTTGTTTCTTTGGTGTAGTGGGGTGTAGTGGGGGGGGGGGATGGAAATAGAAGAATCAACCTTTTTAGAAAAATATTCTGCAATGAAAAAGATCCATGCATGATTCTGGCTTTTTTGGTGTCATCTGTCTTCTTCTTCTTCTTCTTTTTTAAAAAAGAAGCTCATACAGAAAAACAAACAGCAGCAGCAGCAAGTAATTGAACAGTGAGCCACAACACACTGCAAATACTCCGAGGAATACTGAGAAGTGTTCCTGACTACAGGAAGTTCAGTGAAATCACTGGAGGAAAGCAGGGATGAGTTACACACAAGGCAGGCAGGTGTTGTTGTGTTCTTGCTTGAAAGTGGGGGGGGCTAAAAAGCAGGACAAAAGGACAAAGAAAATTAAGCTCTCACAAAGGTGGGGGGTGGGCAGGGGGGAGGAGGACAGAGAGCTTTCAGAACAAGATGTGGCCATCACTATAAAAGGGACCCCGGACCGTTAAGTCCAGTCGCGGACGACTCTGCGGTTGCGGCGCTCATCTCGCTTTACTGGCCGAGGGAGCTGGCGTTTGTCGTCAGATAGCTTCCAGGTCATGTGGCCGGCATGACTAAGCCGCTTCGGGCGAACCAGAGCAGCGCACAGAAATGCCATTTACCTTCCTGCCGGAGCAGTACCTATTTATCTACTTGCACTTTGACGTGCTTTCGAACTGCTAGGTTGGCAGGAGCAGGGACCGAGCAACGGGAGCTCACCCCGTCACAGGGATTCGAACCGCCGGCAAGCCCTAGGCTCTGTGGTTTATACTGTATGCCAAATGAACCAAACAGAGCAAAGCCAAGGCCTGAACAGATTCTGCAAGTTGCAGGTGACCATAAGCTTTTTTGCATACACACACAGAGTGGTTTATTTGAAACACATAGAAAAATTAAGCATGCAAGAACAAACTGCTTTAGATAGTGGCTGAGAGGGCAATTTTCATCAGGATCACAGCTTGAGGGTATTAAGGCCCACCTCCCACACTTTCTGAGCCCCAGTCCTAAAAAGCAGAAAATGTCAAATAACAACCACACCAAAATTTCTGCATGCCTATTGAAGCAGACGTGGCCAAGTCTCTTGGGGGCATTTTCCAAGCCACAGTTACACAAATCAGAAATAACAGTTGATATCTGGCTTTTTTTTAACCTACGACCCTGATAACCATACAGTCATACCTTGCTTGTTGTACAGAATCCGTTCCGGAAGTCCATTTGACTTCCAATACGTTCGACAACCAAGGTACGGCTTCCGATTGGCTGCAGGTGCTTCCTGCAGCCAATCGGAAGCCACGGAAGCCCTGTCGGATATTTGGCTTCCAAAAAACGTTCACAAACCGGAACACTCACTTCCGGGTTTGCGGCGTTCAGGAGCCATACCGTTCAAATCGCAAGCCATTCGAGATCCAAGGTATGACTGAACTGTTGACACTGCTGAATATCTCAAAGGACACTGCTGAATATCTCAAAGGGCACTGAACCCTCACATAATACTAAGTTATTAAGAAAACTGTAATGACTTAGTATTATGTGAGGGTTCAGTGCCTACCTCTGATGAGGACCCACAAAGGCAAATCCTAAAACTGTTCACATAAACCACATCTCTCAACTCCCAAACTCATAAGTCAAAGCTACTTTTTCTTTTTTCACAGCACGGAGTGAAAAGCCCCAACTGACCCACAAGCTCTTCTCATTTTAGCCTCTCATTAACTCATTGCGCATATAACCATACCACAAAATGAGTTCCCCGACTGCATAAACAAGTCTACTATGCCAATCTTATTCAACTCTATGGTCACTGGTACATTTCTAATACAGTTAAACTTGAATGCTAGGCATGGCTTTCCAAAAATCCCCTACATTTCACAAAAATTAAAAACGCTGCCTGTTTTCAATGAGTTCAAGGGAGCAATGAGGGGGCCAGCGGCTTAGCTTCCAGTTTAGGAAGAAAGATGCAATATTTGCTTTGCCTGTAACCTGTCAGCTAATACACTGGTGCCTTGGTTCTCAAACTTAATCCGTTCCGGAAGTCTGTTCCAAAACCAAAGCGTTCCAAAACCAAGGCGAGCTTCCCCATGGAAAGTAATGCAGAATGGATTAATCCGTTCCAGACTTTTAAAAACAACCCCTAAAACAGCAATTTAACATGAATTTTACTCTCGAACAAGATTATTGATCCATAAAATGAAAGCAATAATCAATGTACTGTACTATAAAATAAATAAGACAAATGATGAAAATTAAAATTATTTTTTTTCTTACTTGCTCTGATGATAGTCATTGTTTGGAGGGGGGACTTTTATCCATTTCTGCAGTCACACAATCAATCAATCAGCTGAATTGCGTTCCACACAGTCAAAAAACAAATTAACTGAAAAAGCCTCAAAAACACAAAATAAATAGCAAAACCAAAAGCACCAAATACAGTGGTACCTTGGTTCTCAAACTTAATCTGTTCTGGAAATCCGTTTGACTTCCAAAATGTTTGAAAACCAAGGCACGGCTTCTGATTTGTGCAGGCGCCCCGGAAACAATAGCCGACAGCCGCATCGGATGTTCGGCTTCTGAAAAACGTTTGAAAACCGGAACACTTACTTCCGGGTTTTTGGTGTTTGGGAACCAAAGCGTTTGAGAACCAAGTTACCACTATACTACTTTGTGTACAGAGGGTGTATTCAAGCAGCACTTTGTGCCATCTTTTCAACATTTCTTTACCTGTTCATTTTCAAGTTTTATGTGATCTTTCACACAACATAAAAGCCGCTTCTGGAAATCTAGTAGAAGTTTAGTGCTCATTTCTGGGTTAATTGTTTCCAGGATAGAAAAAGCAATTTGCAACCCCGTTAACTTGGAGATTTGTGTTGTAATTTTCCTGCGGTTTTCACAATAGCGCCACCACTGCTTGCATTACAAAATTTGGATTGGTGTCCCAGTACACACAATTCCTTCCCACCATCTGAGATTTAAAATTTTAGTGCAACATGGTGGTGTGTCAATCAAAAAGCCACCTTTCTGTGACACAACACAACAAGAGACAGAAGCACTAGCATATAACCAGGAAAACTTATGCAATAAGCCCCCTGTCTGAATGTAGCCAGAAGCAAGCTACAGGTCAAAGATACAGGCACTTTTGAACTATGTTTGCATCTGTTCTGAAACATGGTGTTTATATTGCTGATTCGATGTTCCAATCTACAAATCAAAATGAGACAGTCAGCGCTGGAATTAACTGTAGGTAAGGGAAATAGTACTTGGGACACGGGTGGCGCTGTGGGTTAAACCACAGAGCCTAGGACTTGCTGCTCAGAAGGTCGGCAGTTCGAATCCCTGCGACGGGGTGAGCTCCCGTTGCTCGGTCCCTGCTCTTGCCAACCTAGCAGTTCAAAAGCATGTCAAAGTGCAAGTAGATAAATAGGTACCGCTCCGGCGGAAAGGTATACGGCATTTCCGTGTGCTGCTCTAGTTCGCCAGAAGCGGGTTAGTCATGCTGGCCACATGACCCGGAAGCTGCACGCCGGCTCCCTCGGCCAATAAAGCGAGATGAGCGCTGCAACCCCAGAGTCGGTCATGACTGGACCTAATGGTTAGGGGTCTCTTTACCTTTACCTTTAAGGGAAATAGTGGCAACAGAATAAGAACAGAATTAAACTTGCTGGGTGCAATTTTACACAGGAAAAGTACTAAAAGATATTTCAGAAGTTAAGGTTAGCCAGCCTTCTCTGATATTCCATGATTTAGAAAGGGATCCATCTTGTTGAGACCCACTAACAAAACACACCAACAAAAATCCAAAGCAGCCTACTTCATTGAGTTCTTGCAAGAATAAAATGAGAAAAAAGGCATGCATGCCATATTGGGCATCCATGTAAATGGATGAAGGAAATGCTCACTAATTTACTACTACTGGTTGAGTTCTGGTTTAGTCATCAAATGCTGGGAAACGACAACATCTGATTAGTCCACTAATGGCAAATCTACCAGGTAAATCTGCCCAGTTCTATGCCAAGTTGCTTACTAGACAATGAGATTTCCAGTGTGACTTTGGCCATTGCCAAGTTTCTGTCCCTGGTGGTCAGAATCAGAGATCGATATGTATTAGACAAAAGTCAGAAACTAGCATTGTCTTATGATTTGTCCTAGTAGTCTGTGTGCTTTCAATGTATTTTATATGCATTGAATTTCATCAGGTGGGTCTTTGGGCCACAAAGCGTGTTCTCCTTCATGGAGAGCACGTGTTGCGGTGGGGGCCGACAGGACACTCCAAAGTTGTGGGGTGGGCTAATTGATCATTGGCCACTGATGTGATTGGGCTTCCCTTGTTGTTGGGAAGAAGTTAATGTTGCCATTTGTTGATTGACAGCCAGAAATACTAAAACTCCCTGCACAAGGCGTAGAGCTTCCTCTTTTTGCTCCGTGCATCGGATTGCCCGTCCCCCCCTCCCTAGAATAGGGTTGTTCGCTTTGACCTTGCTATGCCTGTCATGGGGTCGTCTGCTCTTGGGGCAGGGGCCCGGTAGGAATTTTGTCCATCTGGCTGATTGGCTGGGGCCATTAGGTTTTTGCCTACTGCGTAGCAAATCCTCACAACTTGTAAGGTTGCGGTTAGGCATTGGTTTATGGTTTGGTTGGTTGAGGGGCATGGATTGGCTGTGCCTGCCCCTCTAATGCTGCTGCTGCAAGGGATTCCATTAAAGGAATACAGGGGCTCACTATTGCTTTTGTCCACCCTGTCAAGGGGCTCGGGCCATGCAAGAGCCCCTGGCTGCATTTGGGGAGGGCTGAGGGCAGGTTCCCTGCTCCGTCGCTACCCCCAAATGTATTCCCCTTTTCTGACTTTCGCATCGTGTGGAATGTCAGTCTGTTCCCCATGGAGGGGCATATAGTCACAACCAATGCCTAAGCAAGCACTCACATTTTTGTATTTTAATAAAGTTGTGGCCAAAATTATGCCCAAAACCTTAAACAAAATTTCTGTGTGATGTGTGAGTTATTGTGGTGGCCCTGGGGACCTCGACACGCAATAAAGAATTGCTGTTGTAGTAGTCATCACATCACTTAATATGTTCACAACTGACTCAGTTGTGAACATATTATCGGAGCGAAAATCAAATGTTTGAGTGGCCTTCCACGTTTTGAAAGCCTCTCTCCACATTTGGAACTAGTATGCCATGAAGTTCTCTAATCCTGCCTTCTCCCCCTGACACGTGGTTTTGCTTCTACATGAGGGACTCATCATGCAATTTCCTCCACCATGCAATCTGCTGTTTTTTTGTAGACTGAGATTTAGAAGGCAAGAAATATTTTGCAGCTGCCATTAACAGATCTCCTTTATTTTTATTTTATTTTATTTTATAAAAATGACATACTTCAAACCAAGCATAAATATTTCCAGAAAGTAATATGATTTTGCTAGTTTAAAGCAAACCATCACACTGAATCACTACAAAGCACTGGAAAGCTATTAAAATGATGAAGACTCCAATATTAGTAATAGGCATTAATCAGGCAGTCTATTGAAAGGACGGGTTGTTTTCTGGCTAAACCTTGCTAAAGCACCACAAGAAGATGAATCTTTAGTACACTAAGCATCCCTCAAAGGACGTCCTGACAGCAGAGCATATGGGGAAGGAAGTTCAGCCTTCAGAAGCTTCTCCTCCTCTGGTTTCATTTTAATTACAGCAACCACTTTTCAAATCTATATCTGGAATTGAGAATTAAATATTTACATAGAGCAGATTTGAGAGAGGGGGGATATTAGGGAAAACGAGAGAAAACAAATGGCGCGCCAGTTGTAGAGAAATAAAGCAGCATTTCCGACATCTGAAAAAAGGCTGTGAATATATTGGGGCACAAATCTCAGAGAAGTGGGTTTACTGAACTCAAGTCAATAATAATAATAATAATAATAATAATAATAATAATAATAATTTGTTTATACCCCACCCATCTGACTGGGTTTCCCCAGCCACTCTGGGCGGCTCCCAACAGAATATTAAAAACAAGATAAAACATCAAACATGAAAAACTTCCTGTTATGTATTCAGTGGTCTGTGTTTGCCTGAGCTTGAGTCTGGATGAAGGAATCTGAGCTCCTGTGTTCTGATTCGATATATGATATCCAATCACAGAACATTTCAGGATTTGGGCCTCTGCCATTGGCCCTTAAACTCTGAGTGATGATTCACAGCTTGGAAGTTTAGACAACCAATCACGTTCGGAGTGGGATTGGCCCAGGCCTTCAGAAATGTATATAAGCAGTTGCTTTGTCCCTGTTGTCCAGCTCTGTTAGTTCAATAAAGGTTCTTGCTGTTATCACTGTGTCTTGCCTCGTGGTAACCCACCTACACTTCCCTTCCCTAAACAGGGCTGCCTTCAGATGTTTTCTAAAAGTCAGATAGTTGTTTATTTCCTTGACATCTGATGGGAGGGCGTTCCACTGGGCGGGCGCCACTACCGAGAAGGCCCTCTGCCTGGTTCCCTGTAACCTCACTTCTCGCAGTGAGGGAACCGCCAGAAGGCCCTAGGGAATTCTGGAAAGTAGTCAACAGTCTGGCCAGCTTGGTTTTTTAAAAATCTTTTTAAAAAAGAAAAGAAAATGTCCTCCATTATTTTAGTCAATCACTGTTGTTGCACCTATATACTGACCATTTCTTTTTCCAAGCTGGTAGCATGCTAAAAGTCCAAGATGACCCTTTAATGGGGAGGTTGGACAGCAACTCTCATCAGCTCTGGCCTTCGTGGACAATGGTCAGGAATGATCATAGAATCATAGAATCATAGAATCATAGAGTTGGAAGAGACCACAAAGGCCATCGAGTCCAACCCCCTGCCAAGCAGGAAACACCATCAGAGCACTCCTGACATATGGTTGTCAAGCCTCTGCTTAAAGACCTCCAAAGAAGGAGACTCCACCACACTCCTTGGCAGCAAATGATGGAAGTTGGAGTCCAGCCTCAAGTGGAGGGCACCATATTGAATACTACTGCTTTAACAGTCTTCAGTGGGAACCTCCAATAAGAAAAGGAGATAAGCAGACAAGATTTTGGAGTGCAAAACCTCTACAGGCTTGACAATGACTACACACCCACCCATCCGAAAGGAGAGGTCAGAACAACAAAAGGTATAGTGAATTTGAAGGCATGACAGAAACATGCTGGGTTAAAAGCAACAAGGTTCGGTGTCCCATTTGTTGTGGATCCAAAACAGTCATAAGGGGTCCTATTCCAGAGCATATTATCTAGACTGGGTCCCCACTGATATTTTTGCTCCAAAAATAAAAGAGGCCATGTTAGACATACTTGTTTAAACATGTGACTAACGTCACCTAGCTTGGCCCCAAGATCTGGGAGTTTCTGGGCAGAGTTATCTGGAAGCCGAGTTGCAGCCTTGAGCGTAAGGGTGCACAAAGTACTCTGGAGAACCTTACATGAAGGAGAACTATCATTAGAACATCATATGGCACAAGAGAAACTTACCCCATTCTTCGGGTAGGCTATCCATCCAAGATCCCCCATTACTGATCGAGAGTCCAATAAATTCACTGAAAAACAAAATAAATTAAAACGTGAATTAGAGGTGTTGCAGGGGGAGGTAAATAATCATGGTTGCCACAGGAAACAAGCGACCATTTACTTTTTAAAATTCTATTCTAAAGGTAAAGGGACCCCTGACCATTAGATCCAGTCATGACCGACTCTGAGGTTTGAGAACCACTGTACGTGGTTTTGGTTTCAGGCACCGACCCTGGGACATAACCCTCGTGTAAGTTGTGGGCTTACTGTATCAAATCATCATGCTGGACTATGTACATATGTACTGCTTGCACTGCACAGTTTACACCCTACAGTCAATTCGCATGTGGAAGGGTTAGGGCCATAGCTCAGTGGCAGAGCATTTAAGGACCTCAATGCTTCTTTTTTTTATTATTATAAGATATTTATTAAAGTTTAGACATTACAAAGAAAAGAAAAGAGAAACAAAAGAAAGATACAAGCAATAAACAATTACAAAGCCTCAAAAACAAAAATGAATACAGTAATACACAACATCAACAATACAAAAAAGAAGAAAAGAAAAGAAAAAGAAGGGGGGGAAAGCATTTAAAAGAACCCAAAAGAGAACAAACAAACATACAAAAGAACCCCATATTTTCATATCCTTATCTTTAATTTGCTTATTTCCTCGACTTCCTCACACCTCCTTTTTTGTACTCTAGTTCAATTAATTATTCCAGCAAGTCCTTTCCCTCTTTCACAAATTTAGTTCCATAATTTAACTTAACGCAATTTTAGACTTAAATTTACATCTTTACCCAATGTCAATCTATTCATACTTAATTCTTTATAGTATTTCTACTAAAGAACATATAACTTCTTTCCAGCATCCTTCTAACATTCATTAATTTTAGAATATTTCTGTAAATAAACTAGAGGTTGCAGCACTGTGCAAATTGGCTGCAACATTATTACAGCTGGCAAGATTAAAGGTAAATGTAAAGGGACCCCTGACCATTAGGTCCAGTCGTGACCGACTCTGGGGTTGCGGCGCTCATCTCGCTTTATTGGCCGAGGGAGCCAGTGTTTGTCCGCAGACAGTTTTTCCGGGTCATGTGACCAGCATGACTAAGCTGCTTCTGGCAAACCAGAGCAGCGCACGGATATGCTGTTTACCTTCCCCCCAGAGCACTACCTGTTTATCTACTTGCACTTTGACGTGCTTTTGAACTGCTAGGTTGGCAGGAGCAGGGACCAAGCAACGGGAGCTCACCCCGTCGCGGGGATTCGAACCGCCGACCTTCTGATCAGCAAGACCTAGGCTCTGTGGTTTAACCCACAGCGCCACCCGGTAACACAGCCCATAAAATGCACTGTAGGGATCTTGTGCTCCCTTCCCCGTGGGATAAGAGCATCTCCAGGAGAGGGAAAGAAGAACAGGATCAGACCAAAAAAACAGCAGGTCAGGGAGGCAAGCAGAAGACAACTCTAGAAAGCAGGTGCAAAAGGAGCGACAGAGAAACGGAAACAGCAAGGCCTGTGGAGTGAAAGCAAGACCAGGTAGCAACAGAGTAAGGAGCGGAGCTGCAGGAAGCCGGTGTTCTGTTGCCAAGGTTGCCAGACTCAGACCCCAGGAAAGGGCAGCGTCTGGGAACTGGAATGAAGCCTGGTGAGGTAGAGGCAGAGCCCAGTACTTCTCAGCAGGGTCAGAAGATGTCACCTAGCATATCCAAGACACAAAGCCAGACTGTCCAGCTGGCTGAAAAGGTCAAGCTTAATGAAACGTCGTGGGAGCAAATAGCAAAAGCTCTCAAGTCTAGTAGAAAACAGAGCCCTGCCTTTGTTCTTCAGTCCCCTTCCCTAGAGTTTACACTTTTCCCTGGAAAGGAAGCTAGCCAATCACAATCACACATATATACAAATCTTTGGATCAGACCCTAAAATCTGGTAGCGGTTCTGTTTTGTGGCAGAAACAAAAGTCTGCCACACAGAAGGAGATAAGACATTTGACAAGATAAACGGGTGACCAGTCCCAGGGGAGACAAAGCGCTAGTAAAATAGAGGCAGCCACCGCGATGGGAGTCGCAGTGGAGATCTGGAGAACATCACCATCTTTGGCCAACAGCCATTGGGGCTGCTAGCGGCTGGAGTTCAACAACATCTTCAGGGCACAAAGTTGGCTACCTTCACATGATCTGAGCCCCAGGTAGCCTTTGGCTTCTAACAGTGAATCCATGACTTTGGGAATGGTGTTCCAGAACTGCTATGGGGAAGGCCTAAAGGGAACAGTCCGCCCAAGACTGATGGCACCGACCATCTTACTCCCGAGACGAATCTGTTGATGAACTGATTTCAGGCTTAGTCAGTTGCACTGTACAATCCAAGAGAGAGCAGAGATTTATGAGAGCCCTTTGCGTGGCAAGTGGGGAGCACCCATCTTGCATTTTAGGATTTCAGGAGGCGGTGAAGCGCAATCCTTGGTGGACTGCACCTTCCACTCTAGGTAGAATTGCGCTCCGTTTTGTCCGCCTGAGCTGAAATCCGCAGCTTCTGCCCTGCCAAGCCCTACAGCCAATTAACAGTTTTGCATTAAATAGTAATAAACTATTCCCAAGCTTACGAAATTTTTCTTGCATTACCTAAAATTCGTAGTCCAAACAGAGAGGACATAATTAAAAAACGAATCTGCACACACTTAAGCAAGCTGAAGAAAATTATAGCAGCTTCCATTTGGGGCTTATAGTTAACAGTCTGTTGAGCGTTAAAATAAAATAAAAAACCCACATCCCTGCTAAACTAACACAAAGCCTAATTTTGTAAGAGGGTGAAGGCGTTACTTAGATGGCAACAAATTCATTTCCAATTCATCTTAGAGGCCTTTTGTTTTTCATAATTTCCTATTAATTTTTGCAAATATTGTTTGAAACTACACCAACCCCATATTTACTTTATGGATAATTCTGTTACTAAAGTTACATAAGAACAGCATTAATCCAAGGCAGGCTATTGTTCCATCAAGGCTCAGTGATGTCTACTGTGATTGACAACGGTTCTTCTCTAGGATTAGACAGCTGCCTATATTCTTTGTTCCTGGAGATGCCTAGGCTGGAAGCTGAGAACTGCCACATGCAAAGCATATGCTCTATCAACAAGCTATGGCCCTTCTTCGCACTAAAAAACCAAATCAGATCCAGTTATTGTGGAGTTATGAAGCATGCCCAATCTGGACCCTTCTGCTGTAAACAAAGTGAAATTGCCCGTGGTGTAATCAGAATTAGAAACCGTTCTTCTCAGGGAGACTTCCCACTAAGAGGCAATCTGCAAGCAAGTCACTGTGCTGAACTACTCTAAGAAATTCAGTAGGTTCATTTGAGGTTCTGCTTTTTTAAAACAAAACAAAAAATATTCAGCAAATGGCAACGAGACTACTATGCTGCCCATTGTTCAGGTCTGCTCATTTTTTCCTTCTGGCACCAGGGCAGCAAGAAGCCAATATCTTTATCAGGAAGCACCTAAAACACGCTAACAGCAAGGCTTGTAGAGTGAGGGCACACACACACACTCACCAGACCTTTGTATGTCAGTGAGCATCTGTTTGGGGAAAATGATGGATGCCCACTTCTGAACTAAGCTGCTTCTCACATAGCTGAATAATCTTCCATTCAGAGCCGGCCCTTTCGTGATGCAATTGCATCATGAAGTGTGGGAGGAAAGGGAAAATTAGCACCCCTGGGCTCCTGGTTTCTTTCCATTCAAAAAAAAGGTAAAGGACCCCTGGACAGAAGTCCAGTCAATGGTGACTATGGGGTACGGCGCCCATCTCACTTTCAGGCCGAGGGAGCCGGCGTTTGTCCACAGACAGCTTTCTGGGTCATGTGGCCAGCAGGACTAAACCGCTTCCGGTGCAATGGGACACTGTGATGTGTGTCAGAGCGCACGGAAACGCCGTTTACCTTCCTGCCAGAGCAGTACCTATTTATCTACTCGCACTGGTATGCATTCGAACTGCTTGGTTGGCAGGAGCTGGGACAGAGCAACGGGAGCTGACTCTGTCACATGGATCTGAACCGCTGACCTTCCGATCAACAAGGCCAAGAGGCTCAGTGGTTTAGACCACAGTGCCACCTGCGTCCCTACTTCTCATAAGCTACTGTCTGCCCACCAGGTGAGACTCCTAACTGGCGTGGGGCTCTTTAGAGCAATCCCCACCCCCCAAAAAATTGAATCCTTCCTTAGAGCAAGACATTGTGGCTGAAGTGGACCAGGAAAGTGCCTTCACGGATAGAATTTCCTTTTTAAAAAATATTTTGAAGTCTATATGTCATAGGCAAACTCCGCCCTCCAGATGTTTTGAGACTACAATTCCCATCATCCCTGACCACTGGTCCTGTTAGCTAGGGATGGTGGGAGTTGTAGTCCCAAAACATCTGGAGGGCAGAGTTTGCCTATGCCTGCCATACACTCTCCTCCCTAGAAGGCCTTGCTCTGAAGAGTTAGAGCACAAATGTACAGCAAAACAATTTTAAAATAAGAGGAGAGGAGGAGGTATGGGGAAGGTGGTGATAGCTTATATACAAAAATCCCTCTTTTACTTATGTTTGGCCCTCAAGAGATTGCTAGACTATGACTCCCTGGCAGTTCTGGGTGGTGGTGATGAGGCTTGGGGTTAAACAAGAACCAAAGGGCAATGGATAAGGCATCGCTGCACTAAGCTGAGGTCCAAGGGCCAAACTCTGCATTACGGGGTTGGGCATTTTTCACCACCCTTAAAGTCTGGAAAGGAAAGGGCCCATCCTACTGCTCTCTTGCTTCCAATTGCTACTCTTCAAGGCTGCTTATTTGTTGTTTCCTTAAAAAAAAGTCCTCCACACAGTAGAGGGAGCTATAGGGTCTCCCTCTCTGCCACTCTTCCAGTGCTGACTCCAAGGCTGTGTTTCCATTTTGAGAGCCAGTGTGGTGTAGTGGTTAAGAGCGGTAGACTCGTAATCTGGGGAACCGGGTTCGCATCTCCGCTCCTCCACATGCAGCTGCTGGGTGACCTTGGACT